CAGGGGTATTAACCACCTGACCTTTACGTTGCTCCCGGACCTTGAGGTGAGGGAGACCGCTTCCGATAGTGGGTCTTGGGGGGTGTTGCTACTCGAACGAGCTCACAGGTCAAATATATCCTGGAGCTCTATTCGCACTTGAACTTCGCTACACAACTGTCTTCGACGGGGGGCCAAAATATATTTCTTCCCGGAACAGTGAGTAACTTAGAACAAGTCCTTCTTGGGTGACGCAGTCGTGCCAAGTAGATCGCAAATTGAGTAGTATTTAATATAGTCCTATCCTTTTAACTCCTTTACTCTATCCTTGCCTGAAGCTCTGATTCCTAGCGTCGACTTGTCTGATCCTTGTATTAACTGGTCCGGAGTGGCTGAGCCCCGAGGGGCCGAGGTCGACCAATGAGGGACCGGGTCGACCAATGAGGGACCCAGGTCTACCAACGAGGGACCGAGTCGACCAGTAAGGGACCCAGGTCGACCCATGAGGGACCCAGGTCTACCAACGAGGGACCGGGTCTACCGACGAGGGACCGGGTCTACCGACGAGGGACCCAGGTCTACCTATGAGGGATCGGGTCGACCGACGAGGGACTGGGTCGACCAATGAGGGACCCAGGTCGACCAATGAGGGACGCAGGTCCACCTATGAGGGACTCGGGGCTACCAACGAGGGGCCAGGTCGATCAATGAAGGGCCATGACCACCTCCCTTTGGTACCGGTTAACCGGTACCCTGATACTGATTTTCTTCGGTGGGTCCTGCGGATTGTTCTCCACCAACGGTCGCTCCCCTTCGAGGCCCCTGTCTCTCTGCTCCCCTGTCCCTGACCCACGGCCTATACTCCGAATCCAACTGGATTCTGGGACCTCCACATCACAAATTAGCACTTCACCACATACATTCACACCAGGTACGCTGTCATTCATATTCTTCCGCATTCTTGACAAGCTTATCTTTTCTCCAACGTATCTTACGTCTTATAAGCCAATCAGGGAACGACTCGTGGATCAACGGTATTTCCTCGATCAATCCATTCCAAAATTATCTGATCGCTGCACCAAATCGACTCCAAGCACATTTCTCCTGCGATCAAACGCAGCAACAAACATAAAGGCGAGATCACAAGGCGGCTCAAGTGGTTAAAGAGCAAGTAAAATCAAGATCTACATTGGTACAAGGCGATTTCGGGAAATATCGCGGTGATTTATATCGAACACCATTAAGATATACCGCAATCGCGTGAGAAACATCCGCGCGATCGTACCACTTCTGTGGTGAAGTGCTTTCCTAAATTGTGAAAAGCCCAGGGGCCAGTTGGATTGAAGGGACAAGGGGCCGTGGACTAGGGAGAAGGGACCACGCACCAGAGAGAAGGGACCACGCACCAGAGAGAAGGGACCGGAGATAAAGGGAACCTCGGAGTGAAGCGACCGCTGGATGAGAATGTGAAAGACAAACAAAGGAGAGGTCATTACCAGGGTACTGTTTAACCGGTACCGAAGGAAGTCGACCATGGCCCTCATCGGTAGACCTGGTTACCTCGTCGATCGACCTCGACTCCTCGTCGGTAGACCCAGTCCCTCATTAGTCGACCACGGCCCCTCGGGGTTCAGCTACTCCTGACCAGTTAATACAAGAATCAGACCAGTCGACGCTAGGAATCAGAGCTTCAGGCAAGGATATAGTAAAGGAGTTAAAAGGATAGGACTATATTAAATACTACTCAATTTGCGATCTACTTGGCAAGTCTTCGTCGCGCTGTAAAGGAACTCTAGTCTGGCCACAAGCATGTTCCGGGGAAGGGATATATTTGCCCCCCCCCCCCGTTGAAGACAGGCGAGTGGTCAGACACAAGTGCGAGCTGAACCCCACGTGGCACGACTCCGTCACCCAAGAAGAACTTGCTCTAAGCTACTCACTGTTCCGGGAAGAAATGTATTTTGGCCCCCCGCGAAGACAGTTGTGTAGCGAAGTTCAAGTGCGAATAGAGCTCCAGAATATATTTGGCCTGTGAGCTCGTTCGAGTAGCAACACCCCCCAAGACCCGCTATCGTAAGCGGTCTTCCTTACCTCACGGTCTGGGAGCAACGTAAAGGTCAGGTGGTTAATACCCTAAAACAGAAGGAAAAGGCCAGGGACGACAAGCTCCCTGAAGAATTTGGCTCTAAGTCCACTCTCGACAAGGTCGATCGAGTGGCCACCTACCGGCCCACCGAGTGAAGCATATCCACTCGAGGCCCCCCAGGTCTACCTCCCTCAAGGCAGACATCTACATCATCACCAAGCCCTCCGAAGAGTGCAACCCGCCAGCCGACGGGTACACAAGGTGAGAGAAGGTTCATACGCGGAATCGGGGTACCTCCTCCGACAGTCGGCAGTCCGGCACAGTGAGTGGTTTGGGGTCTCATCATACAATTTTGAGAACCCACTCCACCACACTTCCTATCTCTAGCGCTACCGAGACAATCATCGACTCGAGCTCACCTGGAGGAGTGCTAGCTATCCAATTGCCGGGTACACAAGGTGAGGAAGGGATTTTTTGCACGAAATCGGGGTACTCTTCATTGGTCGTTCGTCTGGGCGCCGGTGGTAAGTTGGTATCGCATAGATTTCGTGGTCTCCACTCCATCACCGGATAATGCCGATCCATATCAGCGTAATTCTCGCTGTACGTATGCAAAGTATTGGCAAGACCAAGCTACTTACGCAGGTTCTTATGGGACTGTGGAAAGGTCCATATTGCTATAGCTATAACCTTAGCGGGATCCACTCGGAGGCCTTGCTTTCAATGAAGCACCCTCCTATATTAGAAATCGGCGTCTGTGCAGGATTGGTGGCCGCTTAAAAATTATTATAAACATAAACAATACGTCACTTAACAAAGGGTTTCTTAACACAGAGGGTAGGCGTAGAGTTTGTAAATTTACGCACCATACCCGCCGCGTTGCTTTGAACGATAGAACTCGTCAATGAGTCACGCTGTTCTTTTGGCAGAGTCCACTTCCATGTTACGCAGTATTTGGTTTCAAGCTCTCGATTCAGGATAGGGCCGATCGCCACAACGCTGATCGCAAACCTCATGGTATAGAGTGTGGATCGCAGGTTTGCCTTTATTTGAGCTGTACGACTGGAGATCGTGGGTACACCCTACCATTTGTTCCCAGTTTGCACATTATTGAAGAAAAGCGATAGAGAAAATTTCTACATCGTCCGAAGAATTTGTTAGATGTCGAAGGAGTGGATCGCGTTAATGTCGATGAAGCGATTGCTGCGAGGTGATTGCTGAAAAAGCAAACTAGAAGCGGATGGATATGAAGGGGCGAAGATTGTAGACGTGCGATTAAATCAGAAGACCCATTATATGACAAAAATGCGCTCGAGTGGTTGAATGCAAAGTGTAAGTTACTTAATGTAGGTCCTTAGTTCACAAGTAGCCACATCTAAGCCTATTCATCATTACATCTTCGAGTGAACCTGGTGCATGTTACAATTATCCAGCTTCAAGACAGAATCACTCAGCTGGTTGAGGCGCTTTATCTTCAACATTATAGGCATAAGATGATGAAGATCGACGGCTTGTTTCAGACACAAATCGAGGACTTCAGCACATTTAACACGGACAGGGTTCGTAACTTTGTGCTGAATAGTATCACTTAACAACCTCAATCTAAATTTTGAGCGTTGAGTTGGTCTTTGCTCGATGTACGAGCATCATTGTTTAGTCCGAGCACGAATATTGTACTGGAAGCAGAAACGCGCACAGCTAACTTCAGACTAGCATTTTACTTTCTTCAGATTCAGGTAATGGAAACGGAAAAGGATCTGGGCGTTTGCTTTAGATGACCCATTCCCGATTTTCAAGACAATCGCGGCGGAGAAAGCTTCCACGGCTTCATTCCGATGACGGCATTCATGATCAAATAACCACGAATGCGGTCAGTGAAGCTTCTTTGAAATCGTAGCAATGCTTGCAGCTGATGAAACTTATGGATCACAAACAGCCTGGGGCATCACATACCTCTCTTGATAGTGATTCATATACACGGAGATCATCTTCAGATTCAATGTCAGAGTCGATGAAAGAAGCGTTTGTCGATGGTTTCAGTGACTCAAAGGATACGTTTCTTTTGAAGATTGACGATGAGACGGATGAAGACTTTATATCGGTGTTGCTTGAGCAGAGGTGCGAAAGTACTGTATACTTTAAATGTGTGAGCTTGTCATTCTAATTGTAGACGGGCACTTCGAAAGAAGCTGCCACGTGCTACGAGCACACACCTTTGAGCAGCGTGAGAAAACGGTTAGACCGTCTTACCTCAGCGTGCGGTGTTGGTGGTGTTGGTCGGCGCTTACAGCGCAATACCACCGTTGCCGGTCGCTTTAAGCGAGCCGCGCAACGAACTTCTACGACAAGGGATTCACTTGCGACACGCAGAAGCTTATCCAGCTTCTCGTGCGCGGTGAGTGTGATGTAGTAAATTCAAGACTGACTTGTATTCAATCGAAATAACTAAATGTCCATATAACTACTGATTGCTCAAATGTAAAGATCGAATACGCGTCTCTTTCGAAGCGCATTCTTACGTGTCAGCTCTAAATATATTTAAGCTCGCTGATGACGTCCGTCTGAAGCGTCACCATGACGCCTAGTCCCAAGTGGGCGTCATCCCCGTTGAATGCAAATCCGTCCATGGATATCACATTCACGAGGGTGGGTCACATTGATGTGCCGCACCCAAGTGGCAGGGCTCGTACCCATTTAGACCTGCCCGTTAAGTATTTGATACTTAACGAACCGTGAAACAATTAGCCCGTTACAGTGATTATTATGCTTCTGTTTGTGCTTGTAGGGTATCTATCTATATATGCACCACGGAAGAATGTGCACTTAATTGTTTCCATAAAGCGACCCCATTTCATGCACGATAGCACACCAGCATCAGGTTCCACTTGCAACGGTCACTATTATTCAACACACTTCCGACAATTCACGGCACACACTAGTACATCTTGCCCTTTCGAATCGGGCGCATGAGGTCGGAGCCAAGCAGCTCACCGATATCACTTGTGATGTTGCTGAGCTCGTACGAGATTCCATACGAGTTCCGTCGAGGAAGTGAGCGTGTTTCTTCGTGCTCCGACGTATTAGCCAAATTGCGCTCACTGTTGATCTCAAAGTTGTGTTGCATGTATGCGTTTGGGTCCACTGGCAAACTAGCGATGTGGTCATCAATTTGAGTTGCAACGTCACCACAAATTGACTTTTCAGTCCGCCATCTGTCAAGTAGCCCCTGGAATAGGTGCTGCTCATCGTGGTCCAGGTTCTGCACTGCCTTTTGCAGTGATTCCGGGTTCTTGAACGAGCTGGTTAAACTGTCCATCATACTGCTTGTGCTGGAAAGTCGGCCTCTCTCGCTCTTTTCTTTGGATATTGACACGGTAGCACGAAGCATCTCATCCAACTCGCCGCTTTCGAGCAAGTCTTCTGGAGACATGTCTGTAAATGAATTCAGCCCACATATACTGCCAAAGCTTAGCAAACTGTTCGAGTGGCTGCGAAGAAGCTCCTTCAACATCTCCGCATCATTCAGTTCGTTTTCAGCCACTTCATCGCTAAGCGGCTCTACAATGGGTTCAGGATACTGGCTCGGTAATAATACCGGCGTTGTGTGCACGGACACTTTTGCATGAGGCATTCTCATATGTAGAGATTGCAGAGGTGATATCGGCATGGGCGGGAGCATTGATGCGCTATTGTCAGGATAAGAAGGCAGACACCCATTTTCGTACACCGGCATTTCCAGCATCGCGATGGGTGCATTTGTCACCATCCCAGCAACATCAGGCGATACTGCATCGCGTTGCTTGTTCATTGTCACACCGGGCATATGTTTTGGTCGACCTGGTTTGGCTTTTACCTTTTGGTTGGGGTTTAGCGCTTTCCATCTCGTTTTTACAGCGTCTTCTGTCCGTCCTGGAAGTAACTGTGCAATCTGTGTCCATCGATTCCCCATCTTTTCGAATCCGTCCTGGATAACCTCGTCTTCTTCAAGAGTAAAAGGTCTACAGCCAGAATCAAGCAAACAATCCACAAAATGTCAATCCAGTCACCTCTCATTTTCCAAAGTATTGCCACCCCATACAGTTTGTTAATGCTTGGATCCAAGTGGTTTCTCCAACGTTCTCGACACTGCTTTGCTCTGGAAATTCGACATCCAGCATTAGCTTGTAATCACTATTTTGTGCCCCTCTCATCAGCAAAATAGACGTACGTTCTACCAGGAATATAAGCTGCCACTTCTCCCCATGAGTGACAGCCTTGCAAGACCATTTGCTCCAATGTCGTGTCCTCTTCATCGATCCAGTGGCCTTTCACTAATCCTGGTTTCAACACTTTATTCCAGCGCTGAAGACACTGCGCATGGTTCCGTCCATCCACACGGGTAGCAATAGCTTTCCAATTACGCTGATCAAACTCTTCCACTGCTTTACGCAGCATATTATCTTGTTTCAGTGTCCACCGTTTGCCCTTTTCTTCTTCAGCTCGAGGTTTTTGTGACTCATTTGGTACTTCATGGAACGACTGTAGTGCATCATTTGTGGCTTCCCGGTCACGTTTTCTAAAGTCAAATATCAAGTTTCATGTTACAATTTTCATAGTTAGTGCTATTAGTTAGTCGGGTGACTTACACTCCTGGTTCTGCTTTGTTTGTTCATAACAACAATGTCAAATGGATACAATAACAAAAAGTACAAGAAAATATTATACACTTGCAGTAAAGCTGAAGTTATTATTATAAAGAGAGACGCACCCATGGTGTTGTTCGTTAATGAGAAAGTTATGAAGTGGTGGTTTGGAATATCGAATGGTAAAGCGTAAGTGACACGAGTGAAGGAAGACAGACATACGTGTGTAAAATTACGATCCCCATGTGTTTCAGAAAAACTTTTCAAACGTTTTCTCAGCCAATGAAAGGACCATTGAATGGAAAACAAAGAAGCTTCATGTTAATGGTTGTCTACGTTGTTGGTCGTGTATTACGTTTTTATGTCGCAGTCAGAACTCGTGCAATCGAAGGAAGCTTAAAGTTCTTTCGGATGCGACAATCTGGGTAAAGACAATGGTAAAACATAGAATCTTTCAAGAGAATTACCATACTGAGTCAGCACGTGCAGATCATGAAAAACAAGTACATAAAGTGAGAAATCCCCAGCACTTCAAAACGACCAATGCCAAGACAAAAGACGAACTAGATGTTTTGAAGAAAACCTGTGGCTATCAGAGTTGCCGTCGAGAATGATTGAAAGCACTGCAAGGAGGAGTTTGGTCATATATATACATCTATACTGATAAAGAAACGACAAATATTGGACTCTTATGACTAGAACATCTAGTACAGATCCGTCTGGCTATCCATCATCTTAAGAAATGTGACTGTGTCAATCGTCTAGCAACTGTCTTGTAACAGAAACAGTTCCTTCAGATGATCGACAGACATTATTTGTTGCATCGACAGACAAACCTATCCGTCTGGGTTGTGACACACGTGTGACAGGTCCGTAATCGGCTATCCTGGGGACTCATGCTTGACTTAGAGCGTCAAAAGTGACGAAAAGCTATCGGACAAATATCTTGCTAACAAGCTATAACAGTGACTGCTTCAATTGTCTTGCAGCTTTTAAAAAGACTGAAAGCCGTTGTACGTTAACAAGTATCAATATCGTCTCACCATGTCTCATTTGTCACACTAGATGCTGCTGTCCATCCATTACAGGGATTCTTGTCTTACCTGAAGCAACGCAAGGTCAATTTCGATATCTTGAGTACGATGCAAGCGCGATCTTTCCTGACTATTACGGATATATTTGACATTGAACATATGTCTCGGTATCCTTGTAAGCAGCCCTTGCTCTGGATAGCAGCACTCCTGTGTCGTGTCCAAGGTTCCAAATGCTACTAAAAAGCTCTTGCTATTGCTGAAGGAAATCCGAGCAGGTCATCAACAATGCCGTCACGTGTTCGTATTTTGAATGTGCCTAGCTATATTTGGTATGCCGAAGACCACGTGCTCAACATTATAAAGCCTTATGCACATATGCACGACGTGATCCTGAAACGTCAATACACGAGACGCTTGAGCATTAGAGTTCGACAAGCTAGACAACGAATTATAAACATCTCATCTCAGGACATATTACAGGTGATGGATGATATTCGTAACATGCTAATCTCAAGCCATTTCTTGGTCACTGGTTCCTGGATCAATGTGGCCTACTTCTGAACCAAACAAAATGGTAATCCAAGCGATTGGATGCAGCATTGTCAAAACGTTTCGAGACCATTAGACACTTGTACTTTTCACCTTGAAAAAGACTATTTACATGCTGTTTTTGATCCGTCGAACGAGGTTGAGGCCTCGATACAATCGATTTCAAAGTGCCGTTAGGATGCAAACCATCGGAGATCAAGCATTTGTGAATCCACGGGATACACGTTTGGCATACGCCGATATTATCGTAAGTTGTTGCTCAGCCATATAAAAAACACATGAAAAGTGTTCTTGATAATTGATACAACAAAATCTGTTGATTAGGGTGAGGAGAGTCTTAGTGGCAAACTACTCAGTGCTGGCCCTATTTTGGAACGACTTGATATTTTCGGGGCTGCTGTCGCTGAAAAGTAGGCAGAAATGTATTTTTTTGAGATCGAAATTGCATGAATATTGATGATTTACTCTTGACAAGTGTCGCGTGCAAAGGTATTGCAACGATTTCGGTTGATCGGGTGGATTTCAAGAGTCAGATCGCTCATGGCGACCTTGTTCGGCTTGAAGGTGAAGTCGTCTCCACGGGAAGCTCGTCGTTAGCTGTTCAGATTACTGGGTACCGCCACGACATTGAAGCGGGAAAGTTTGTTCATACACTGAGTGCCATCATGACGTGTGTGGCGCTAGACAAGAACATGCAAGCAAGCCCAGGACTTCCTAAATTAATGGATCTGACGGACCCGGAGTATGTCAATAAGCACCAAGAGATTGCAAAGCAACGGAAAGAGCTTGCAGCTCGATGGCGTGGTGTACAGGAAGCAGTGGATAAACTTCCGCATGTATCGGTTGACATGTTGAAGACCTGTAATTATAAGCGATCTCTGGTTGTGCCGATTCCAGACACGTTGATTGAGGTGCAAAATTCGTTTTTACCAAAACATCTCAACCGCAACAATACTATTTTCGGTGGTGAAGTGCTTACGTGGATGGATAAGGTGGCACTATATTGTGCTCGCAACTTCACTAAGAACCAGAACATGGTTACGGTCTCGATGAACCGAATTTTCTTCAAACTGCCGATCACCATGGACGACATCGTGACGATGCACGCACGTGTCAGCAGTGCTCGGTACGTTTATCCGATAAAGCTTGCTGGAAATATGACGACTTTTAACGGAATCATTCTCGTTGTTTGTAGTCGTCACCATTTAGAAGTCGAAGTGGAGGTATTCGTAGGTCGTATCGGCTCTCGAGAGCGCCGAAGGTCTCACACAGGGTGCGTACAGATCTCTATCACTATTGTCTCGAACTATCATGTTGACAAGACACGCTACTTGTTGAATCCATGCACTGTTGTCCGTTCAGGTACTTCACCGTCGCGAACTTAGATCGATCGTACCGCATGAAGCAGATCTCCACAGGCCTCAAGGTGGACGAAAACGACCAAGAGAGTATGCGTACATTGCTCAAGGCTCAGCACCGTTGGTTGTTCGACGACCAAGAGGCCAAGTTGCTAAACCTCGAGCCACTCTCGCTGTCCACCCCGAACGCTGCAAGCAAGCTCTAAAATTATGCTTTGAACTAGACTGCATGCGTTGAAAATTGCAATTCGAAAACATCTAGAATATAGAGACCAATGTGACACTTATCATCACGTCCCTCGTGTACTTTGCCGGGTCTTCTCCTTTTTGCTTGAGCCGATCCTTCTCACATCTACAGCACTCTGTCGACTGCAACAAAATGTTTTCCAGTGAATGGAAAGCTAATGTTGCAAAGTGGCTACATTATCTTAAACTATCAATTAGAATATAAGTTGAAGTGGACAATCGCGACCAAAATCTCTATCGTATACTTTATCAAAACTCATTTTGGGCAAACACAAAACAAAAAAGAGAGCATTTCAAACGGATATTGGTAGACTATAAAATGGATTCCGCACCAAATGGTGGACCCTATTTTTCAATTACAATTTTGACTTTTATCATTAATTTGAATGTGGAATCGGTTTACTGAGGGTCTGGCCGACATTGTCGCACCTGAGGAGGGCATTGGACAGGAGGAGCAAGACGATACCGACCAGCTCTGGAACCGTTTATCTTCCGTAGTAGCACCTCTTCCCGTGTCTCCCGATAGTACTGAAGCTGCTAGGAATGACGAAGACGAACAAGATCAATATATTTGTGACCTGGAGCGAGCGTTATTGCAACGGAAGAAACAAAACGAAGCGCTGGAAACGAAAGTACTAAAATGTGAGTGAGTATATGGCTGTGAATCAAGTGTGACTGATTTTGATGTGAATGTTATCCGAATGTGACGAGGTCCAAGAGCTTGAAAGACGTGAAGGGGAACGACAATTACAAAAACAATTGAAAGAGCAGGTAACAATTATTTATTGTAAAATTGCTGGTACAAATTGTAATGAATAATCAATTTCATGAGAATTTAATGACTTGAAAATTCTGCAGGAGGTGGAGATTGCTCAGCAGAAGGCTGATATCGAGAGGCTGCAAGCAGCACGACATGACATTGGAACCTTGCACATGGAAAATGGAGAAATACCCCTAGGGTTGAACCAGGAACAACTTGTGCAGGAGTTGCACCAATCTCAAGCTCAGGTGAAGATGGTGTCATAGTTTTTGGTTAAGTGTTGTCGAAGGAGAATTTATCGTTGTTATTATATGTGAATCAGGTTGATGCCCTATTAGCAAGATGCCAAGCTCACGAGAAGGAGTTGGTTTCACTACGTAGTAGAGTGAAAGAGTTGCAGACAGCCAACGAGACGTTGCAAAAGGAGAAGCGAGAAATTCGCGTAAGATTAGCTGAGTATGAACAAGGATATGTGGAGATGCTGGCGGAGATGGAGCAGATGAAGGCGGTAAACGAGAAAGAGAAGGCAACATTGCTGGTCGAAAGCGAGGCGCATGTGAGCTCAATCGACAATCAGCGACTGTATGATCTGGAAGCTCGACTGAAGACGTCAGAAGCGGATAAGGTGGTCGCTCAGCAAGATGCGGAAAGATTACAGCGTGATTTGGATGCTCTTGAAGGTGTCCTGCATCAGTTCCAGGTCGATAACAAGGCCCAGAAGAAGCATGTTGCTGCAGTGGAAGCAGAGCTGGAACGGGCCACAAGTGAGTTGCAGACGCGTCAACCCCTCTCGGAGCCTAACGAAGAAGCAATGGACGATTTGGATCGGGTAATGGAAAAACTTGCGAAGAAGACGCATGAGTGTGAGAAGCTTCGTGAGGTACGATGACTATTACTGTATAAGCGTCGTGTAAATAAGTTGACGATACACAAATGGTGTTTGATTAGGCACTTGAAAGCACAGCAACTCAATACAACTCAGAGCGTGACGTCTTGGACAAGAGACTTGCTGCTCAACTTGTGGTACATATCATGGTCTTTGATTCCTCTAGCGTATGACGGATATCTACTCATCCTGTTATAATTGCCATCTGGAAATAAGGTGGCGTACGTGGACAGCAACAAGAAGGGCGAAGTACTTCAACTCATGGCACGAATTATGGTATGCGTGCGTACTTATCCCTTCGTTGTGATATTTCAATTAACGGCATATGCCCACATTTTTGCTAGGGATTTACGGAGGATGAAAAACGCCGTGTTGGCGTGGGCTACCCAATACAAGGTAACGGCGGAGGTGGGCTCTTCTCGTCGATAATCGGGCTCGTGGCTCCAGGTGAAGGTGCATCCACCTCTGTTGATCCATCTACGATTGAAGGCAAGAATTTTGCAGATATCTGGTCCGAGTTTTTGCTTGAGGAAGCATCCAAAGGACAATAACATGGGATTTCAAGTAAAGTTTGAAGCTCGATGGTATTCAAAACGTTAACCCATGGACATATTGTGCACGCACATGTACATCAAGTCGTGATTACGCTTGATGCACTTACTTAATTAACTTGAACTAACCGTTCTGTTTTGATCACATGTACCGCTTTAACCCCTTTGCGTATGTTTGGAGAGAAATGCCGTGTAGAGGTCCAGCACGTAAAAACGATACGATATAGTGTCCTCGAGGCTGACTAAAGGGGATCTCTTGCACCCGTGGTGCTACGAAATGTTTGCGAGTGTCTGAAGACAAGACAAACATAGCAAGCCAAGCAAAGATGCCGTAAGCCTGCAAACACTGGCTACTAACAAGAAGATAAAAAGAAGGTTTGGTATAGCGATAAGGTCATTAATAGTATAAACGGAGGCCTTCTAAGCTTTTTTACTGCATCAAGCGCTTCAAGACACATAGTAGACGGAGGTTAGCTATGTTGTCGAAGGCCCAGGGTATCTCTAACATACAAGCGCTTCTAGCTTGTGACCACAGATTCAGCAACATTTGTCGGTCGACGCCATGATACAAAACAGCCCAACGATAAGACTACGATCGTCGCCACATCGACTGTTGTAGACATTAAAAAACTCGGTTCCATTAGCAACACTGTTACGCATCCTGCTCGTTGCGTTAGATATCTGGTGCTACTGAGTTCGTCAGCAGTGTCGCCTCCATTATTGCAAAGAATTGCGACTCAGTTACATCAATTGCTTGCGACGTCCACCTTCAATGACACGCGATATTCTGATACGTATAGAAAACTCGAACAAGATTAAACGAATTTGCAAAACTGCTACTGTAATATCAGGGTAGCTCTCAAGTCGATCGTTTCGTCATACCAAAACATTGTCACGCAATCGAGTGTTGACTGACAACATCTTCTCGCACTAGACAGTGCCAAATTGCCACTACTTCACTCGCGATTTTATCTACCAACTTGCTATTTGCATCAAAAAACCATTATATACTGCCACAATGTTTCTTTTTGACAGATACGTTGAAGTTTACTACTCTTACTGTAGATAAGTCATTGTATTTAGTATCAAAAAAGCGGTTAAAAGTGTAAAAACAGGTATCCTTGAGTATTCAAATAAACTATTGATACGGTATCTTTTTATAGATACAGCAGCCAAAAACCCGCACGTCAGCGTTCAAAAGGGCATCATCATTTTTAAAAAAATGGGTTGTCTACTAACCTCGTTGCAACTGATCCAAAAACTGATCACGTTGAAGTGAGATGTAAACTTTTGTAAACGTACCACTATAGTGATAATTGTATAGAAATCTGCTCTCATCCGTCAACTTGTTCAAACCTTAATAATCGACACTTGAAAAGGCGTTGCAAAGTACTTGCACTTTGTATTGCTTCACGAGTAGCAGGAGCAGCCCCGCTGGAGCCGTTTCATTGAAGGAAGATTGACTACAAATGAAGGCCAAGAAAAAGCACCATAAGACTCGCAATGAAGTCGCAGACGTGACCATGTTGGATGTCTCAACGTCAATAGCTAAACCCCGAGTCAAACGCTCAACGAAAAGTCCGTTCAAAGCTTCAAAGTTGCAACCAAATGCTGCTGATAAAGTGGCGAAATTTAAAGAAGAAAAAAACGTGAGTTAGAGAGGGAATTTTTATTTTTACCTAACTTTTTACTATAGAAGACTAATTTTAACAAATTTTGGGGTATTTTATTTAAAAAAAGCTAAAAATTGAGACAAAAGATCTCGGACAGGACGTGGCAGAGCCGGACGCCGAGAAAGCAGTGCCATTATCTAGTACCAACAAAAAGAGACGTCGACGTTCAGCAGCAGAGATTGACCGCAAACATAAATGTCCATATACAGGATGTCTGAAGGTTGTAATGATAAAATTGTTTTGTTATATTTGTACTATTTTTTATGATATTTATTTATATTATTTGGTTAAATGTTGTAACAGGCTTACGGATCGGAAGGTTCGTTGATACATCATCAAAAATTAAAACATCCAGAGAGGATGGACCTAAACGAGAAAAACAATCAGGTAGATGAAAAAGAACATTGAGATCCATTTGAATTTATCTGACTCATGTGATTGGATGTAGCAGGTTAGTACATTCTTGCTGCCTTTGCACAATGCAACTCGAAATGTGATGATTCGACCAGCAATGCCTTTAATGGTGTATACTAATGATCGGAGACTTTTGCTGAACAACCAAAGCACCAATGACAATAATGTTCTCGCACATTATTGTCCTCTTCCAGCTAAAGCACCACGACGCAATATGCGCTCACGTTCAAATTCAGAGCCAGTCACGTTTATCAAAGAACAGACGAATCCAAAGGTCTGCATTCCAACTACTACGCTCATGACAAAACCGCGACCTAAATCCCCACACAACCCACGTCAAAATATTGCTCCACATGCTGAAACGACAGCAACTGCCGCTAGACGCTCGAAGTTTCGTTCCAAATCGGAGTCTCTACCAGAAATGAACCTATTACAACCATTCGAAGAGCTCAAACTTCCATCATATTATCGCAGTAATAGCTCAGCAAGTGCTCACGAGCCGGTCTTGCCAGTAAGCAGCACCGGTTCCGTTGAGCACGGGTCATTTGAGTGGCCAGCAACGTTGATTTCAGCTTCGTTACACCACTCGACGTCGCTGTCAAGTGATGAACAGGCAATTGACAGTGACATTTTATCTGTGCTGGCAAACTGTGATGCAGAAGATACTGGTGCTTCATCGGTATTAAGTTTCGAGGGCGGCCCACCCTCAGCCAATTCGTATCAGTCCAGCACGAGTTACGGGGACATTGAAGACACAGGCATGCTTCCGGTGGGGATGGAATGTTTTAAAATTGCTGAAAATGCAACTTTACCGGCACAAGTTTCTCAAGGGTTAGTCATGAATGAACCGGAGGCTGAACTAGGCATAAAAGCCTTTGCTACTCTGGGCGATGACTGGGCTAATGCTATGCTGCTGTCCGATCATTTGGAGAAAATGTCGGTGGCACAGGGAGACACGCCGCCTCACAGCATGATATCGACGTTCGGCAAAGTGATGCCAAGCGAAGGGACTGTGCGCAGACTGTGTTCTGCGTCAGATCCTGTCCATGCTGCAGATTCGATACCTTCTAAGATGAGTCGCTTTTCGTCGGTGTCGACGGATAAATGCTCGGCTAAGACAACTGCTCAATCAAGTGGAGATAACGAGTTGAGTTGTCAGAATATTACCAGCTTTCAGCAGCAGTTTGGGATTTCATGTACATCGGAAGTGGCCAAGAAGGAGAACGATGGCACCCAGCAGATGTTCTGGCTGTCAGGTGAAGCTGACATTGCAACATCTGACGTACTAAGCAATTCGCAGCCATCGTCAGAAGTGCTCGACCAATTGCTCCAGCATGATGACACATTAGAATGGAAACCTACTGACGTATTCGTGGATGATGAAGTCGACTATGCATTGATTGACACTGGAATGACACCAGCGCTGCTCTGATAACAATTCTCTAGTCGTGAGATTGGTCTCAGTCAGCTAACCAAAGAGCTAACTGATTGGAGTCACGTGGTGTGGTTTCACTGCATTACGATGCACTCTTTTGTCACAAGCACCCGGGCCAGATGTACAACCACCTTGTAATGTATTCCAGGGAACCCCGAAAATGTCAGCATTCTATTTGTTTGCATCTTATATGTAGCGGATGAGAAGTGATGAAAGACGACAAGTGGAGCATTATGGACTAGCTGTAGTAGCACCTGTGATCAAGTCGTGTTGTATAGGAGACCACTTAGGTTATTGTATTGTGTCTGTATACAAGAAAGAATATCTCTTATGTCGAGTATGAGCCTCAAGACCAGAATTATCTAGTAGCCAAGAGAGATTATTAGTTAAGACAGTAGCAGTATCTACTATACCATGGATCCAACACTCAACTTGATCAAATCGTTACGGAAAAAAATAAAAAAAATACTATACTGGTCCAGACTGGCTCGTCAATACGGGTCCTCCCATTTTTCAATCATTTATTAACTTCCTGCATAGTAGTCATATAGAAAAACCACACACACACACTCTGTATTATGAAATGGTGCATACTTTTCGTCACTATTTCTCTGATACTCATTTCGGCCTTTGTCAATGTTAATTCTGAACAAGTTTTTAGTCGTAATCACCTCAAACTCCAGAAAATTGTAGCCACTTTGCCCTCATTACAGCTTCATGTTACTCTCAAGCATAAAGCAATGGAACTTCATGGAATATCTGACTTTCAGGTGTATGCTAATCCCCTTGTATCGAAACAACAGGGGGATCGTGTACTCTACAACGGTTACACAACGTTTACTGATGGTCCTGTACGCTTCACTTACTCACTTGTGGATGGAGCGCCCTACTTGATGACAATTAATAGCTCATCGGATGCTCAAATTGTTCGCTGTATTCCTCCTAGCACCCTCCCATTTAATGATATGCTATCGGCATTCAATGCATTAACGCCAATTCCTAGTGCATCAATAGGTGGCAAAACTATCGAGTGCAAGATTGGAAACCTCTTCAAGACATCGTTCGCTGGCGTCCAGTACGCTGTCTGTTTCGCGGGTAAGGCGGGTTTTACTGCCTATACAAGTGCTATGACCATTACTGTCAATTATCTGGACAATCCCGTGACCATTCCCAGGACAACATTAAAGGATGGATCATCATGCAATGCCATTGCAAATGCAATTGAAATGACACCAACTGCACTTGCATTGCTAAGTGGGACTGAAGTACCAGTCAGGACGTCAAGAATCCTCAAGGAAGAAACACATATGGCAATGGCTTCTTCATCGTGCTCGTGTAAGTCGACTCCTCGTCCATGCCTCTTATTTCATGGCCTAGGCAATGAAGTCGAGGAACGAGGTGTGCAGGATACGTCGCGTCATTTCGGGTGGGAAAAAATTGAGAATCATGCTCCATGCTGCACAACGATCAAGTATGCTGCACTCAATACCGTCGACTATCGTTGGACCGACTCGCATCTTCAGGAAATGGCGTGTGATCGCTCTCTTTCCATGTCCAATTCGTCGTCTAAACACACGATAAGAGACACAATTATCGTCACGCACTCAATGGGTGGGCTGATGTTTGCTGGTGCACTTGCAAACAGGAAATGTAATCTCGCAAAAAGCTCGACATGGATTGCTCTCAGTCCTCCCATGACTGGCAGCATGTCTTCCGACTACCTTCTGGAGTTCTGCAAAGGCAAGGTCGATAATGTTCTTGCGCACGTGATCTTCCAAGACAAATGCCCAATATCTGTTTCCGCCACGTCCGTTGTCTATAAAACGGAGAAGTATAGTGACAAGGCTATGAAAACTGCATACGCTGCCGCTGAGAAGGTTTATCGCAAGTATGTCTTCGCAGCCATGTGTAGCAGCTCTTACGTCGGTAACATTTCCAAATATCAACCCAAGTATATGATGGGAGGGTCTGTGATTCCGCACAAGTCCTCCGAGAATGACGGTCTCGTCGAGTTCCAAAGCTGTGCAGGAGGTATTTCGTCGTCAACGTTTGGAACCACGCACGAAGATCGGTTTTACAGGTGTGAGTTGAACCATGCCGACACGGCTTTTAAAACTGGTGACGGGCTTTTCAAGACGACTGTTAAACCTGTAAAGTGGTTTGAGTGCCTCCTGTAAGTAGAGGATAGTCGAATGCAGACAAGTACTACTACTGTACTACGTACACAAGTTGGGTAATAGATATACACTTGCTGGACTTGATCGGTTTCATGTGCTCATCTGGTAGCACCAACTTGACTATGCATGTATTGATGATTGACATTACGTTGTTCAAGTAGAGTGAATGGTCTTACTGGATTGCTAAACGCTTTACTTCTTCTTTCCTACCCAGGGGCTTGTCACCTCCCAACGCAACTGTAGTCGAATGCAAGTTCATAGCAAACATTCAAACCACTTCCTCGGCTTTTGAGAATCGTCCCAGAACGCGTCATGGGTGAGAAATGCTGTGTCTGCGTGGTTCAATGATGGTCTGTAGAACTTGCTCCTGTAGTTCTTGCCAAATTTGGACTCGTCAAGACCTATAGCGCAGCTCTGAAACTCCACGAGGGCATCATTTTGCGGCGACTTGTGCGGAACCACACGTGCTGTGAAAAGCATGATCGCTTCGTACTGAGACATAACGCCGTTTGGGTTGTCACTGCACATGGCCGCAAACACATTTTTCGCGTATGCCTTCTGGGCTCTTACGTAAGCCTCGTTGATCGTTTTAGAAGCATGCCTTTCATTCTGGTACACGATATTCCGTCGGGAAGCTGGCAGAGGACACTGGCCGATAAACTCCAGCATCTTTCCTGGCGAAAACGCATGGTCCTTCTTGTCACAGTAGTCGTGAGCAAAGTCCGAGACCATACTCCCCATCATAGGTGTGCTTATAGCTACCCATGATGTACCTTCCCCAAGACTACACTTGCCGGTAGCTATCGCCAAGGCCAGGACAAGCCCACCCATTGAATGCGTCACCACAACAGTGTCCTTAACCACATGTTCCTCCTTGTCACTCGTCTCACTCACCCTCAGGGCCCGGTCGCAAAATTTGTGTTGAAGACTTTTGTCGAGCCAACTGGAGTTCAAAGTGTTCAAGATGGCGTACTTCACCTCACTGCAACAAGGAGCATTGTAATTGATGTTTCCCATTCTAGTGACGTCTTTCGGCGTATCCTGAAGGTCCTCCAGTTCATGTGTACCGCCAATGCCATGAAAGATGACGCACGGACGCGGTTTGGACTTGCACTTACACGACGATGGTTCCATTTTCAAAATCTCTGCCGTCTTCAATTGCCTTGTAGTGCTTGTCGGGAAGTATGTACTTCCAGTTAACAACGCTACCGCCGTCAATGTCATTGACGTGGCCGTAGCTATAACCTTGCACGATATTCCATTGCTCAATGCTGGAACCTCAACCTGAACGGGGGCCTCGAGGTACTTGACCGTGACCTTAAAGTCACTGCTAAAAGCCCTGAATCCAGACCGACCTGCTGCGCAGATAGCAAAAGGAGCTCCACCAAACGTCGTCTTGAATAAATGTCCACTCGTGCATTTCACAATCTCATCACCTACAAATGCACTTGAAATGGGAACCATCTCATTCAATGCAGGTAGAATAGCATGAAATGGCAACATTCTGGTTGAAATGCATTCGACAATTGTCTTTTTTCCATCATGTGTAGACAAATACCCGATACCCTGTACATATGAGTAGATAAACGTCTTGTCATCATGACTAAACGTAGCGTAGCCATCGTAGAGTATCCTCGACCCATTTTTAGAGACAATGGGAGTAGCAAAGACATTAAATTTCATCTGTCCGTGAAGTTTTAACGACGGTCGATTAAAGGAGACATGAAGTTTTAATGAAGGTGCATTGACTAAAGATAGCGGACTATCATTTTGAGCATTTACAGTCACTGCAATTGCTACAAGGATAAGAATAGTAGACACTAGTACATGGATGCAAAACATGGAGGCAAGTTTACAAATGACTCTCTCTTTTTTATTTTTATTTTTTTTTAAAACTCTTCTCGTTGATGCCCTAGCAACAAAAAAAACAAATTCTGATCGTAAATGTTTTTTTTTCTCTTCTTATGGTTCATTTTCTGATCGGAGAACCGATAGAAGATGGGGAAGGAGAGGGGAGATATTTTTCTGTGCAATGATTTGTATGTAATGGTTGAAGGGATCTTTTCCTATAATGATGGGCTCACTTTGTGACTGCAAGAGGGTATACTTGTGGCATTAGTCTATCTTGAACTTGGTTCTTCGTCTAGATTTACTATTTCTAAAAAACGAACTGCACTTTTGTAAAAACTTTCACAAAATATTACTTCTTACTTGTTTCTTGTACTACTTATGATAATATAACTATTACTATTTGTAAGAACATGTATGTGTCGAGTTTATAAGGAATTTAAAATATCTTACCAACCTCTTGAAATTTATCTATCACCCATGCTGCTGCTGCTACCCCAACTCGTCCTCGCATTAATCTCCTGGATGCCCCAGTCCTCATCCACACCATCTAGCAATAACTCTCCTGTCATCGAGCTCCATCCCGATATTTCACTTCCGTCCCAGTGCGTGTTATATGGCGTCCCCCAGCTCTTTCGCGTCGTAAAGCTTCAACCCGCCACTGTTTACGACATCAAAGTATCGTATCCAGCGACGCAGCCATCGATGTTTACGCTACAAGTGGAGGGGGTATTACTTCCAGTGCTATTTCATGATAATATTGGTGATATTAGCGACAATATTGCTCGAAATCTCGTGAAAAAACAGACGATACCACCAGGACATCGGGTTTTAAATACCGCAAAACTTCGGCTCCATCCAAACGAAGTCGAGGGACATGAATCGGTACGATACCGGTTAGAACCGTCCCTCGAAACAGCTGTCGAGGTGGACTTTTCACTTTTGGCACAAGTCGAAGGCGTGCAACGTCCGGATTCCAAGTTGGAAATGGAAAAGTGTGTCTTTGATATTGTTGTAGAGGAAGTGCTGCTGGAAATGTTTCCAAGACATACAGTGGTGCTTATTGGATGGTTGTTTGTGCTCCTTTTTGTAAGTGGGAAGTGGGTGCTTCCATATCTCGAGAAGAAAATTGCACTGACGTGTGTGGAGGATCGAGTCGAGTTGACACAAACAAAGAAGTTCTAGACAGAAAGTATGGCGATGAGACGATGGAATTGTCAAAGGTTTATTGAAAAGAGTCTGTCGCTCTTTGTAAAACTGCTCCACGTTGATCATCTAACGTAGCTCTTCAAACGACGCACTCCAACTATTGTAATAGATAGTGGACCTGGTGCTACAAATTCTACTCCTTTGCCATTCTGAAACTACCTAGTTGACCAAAAAGGTCGACGTGAAAACACCATTGCTTGTCCTGAATGCCGTGTCTGCGTGATTCAGCTCAGGTTTGTTGAATGTATCCATGTAGCTGTTGCCGAGCCTGCCTTTGTCGAAACCGCCGTAACAGCTGTCGAACTCGACAAGTCCATTATGATGAGGCAAAAAGGTGGCTACAGCGATACGAGAGGCTTGAAACTGCGAAATGACAGCGTCAAAATTGTCGCTGCACATCGCAGAAAGGAGCCCAAACTGAGCGGTTAATCATTTAAGGTGCATCCTGCAATCAGCTTCTTCACGTTTAATGTCAAAAACCATGAAAGGTAATACAAGGACGTGTGTGCTTGGCCTCACAATTCGTGCCTATATGATACTCGTCATTGAGTACCTTCTAAAGTCCATCAACCTTTGGAAAACACTTGACGGAATTTCGCCTCCAGTGATCAAGATGACAGCTGTAAGCTTCATCAATGTGACATGTCCGATGGGCTTACTTGGATAGTGCACGACAACTTGAACAAGGTGCCTCTTGCACACTCCACCAAATCTTTGCCACTTGATGCGACATAAGTACCATCATTCAGAGCTAGTAGGATCTGCTGAAACGGCAGTGCACTTGGCGATAAACATTGAACGGTCATGATATTATTAGCGTTTTTGGTCGTTCGGTAACCAACATTGTTAATAATGGTATAGATGAGCTTTAGTAGATATCGCAATGCTGACAGACCTGCAGGACGTCCTATCGGATCATTAGTATAATGACAGTCGATTATCATGGGCGTAAAAAAAGTGCTGTGTCCGACTCTCAGTCATACATAAATCAGACTTTTGTACTCATGGTCGAACAGATAGTAGTACTATTGGTGCTAAAATAGTACTCTCGTTTGAGATTCTCAAGAATAATAGTACTACTACTACAGTATTCTAATACTAGATGTACTTCATTGTTGCAGAGGCAGTGTATAAGATGCTATCCATATTTATACATTCAAAATTCTTCGCCGTGGTTGCTTGCATGCTATATCCGTATCTAATCACTCTATTAGGGATTGTGTACATGGGTGCAAGACTTACACTTCTTTGAAAAGGCCTTGGGAACGAAATCGTTACATCGGCAAGATTTGCAAGAACCTTGTGCAGCAGCGGTAGCCGATGATGAACGTCGTTGAGATCCTCCAGAGGCTTCAAACTGAGCAATCCCTTTCATGGCATCGTCAATAGCATCGTACAAGCACTGCGCAGCGCGTGGATGTGGAACGGCCCCACTCAAAATCTCCTCGGGTGTAAGTTTCTGACCGTAAAAGTTGCTGTTCGTATCTGTCCGCGCAGTAATGACAGCTCCATGAAGCGAAATGCCGGCGAAAAGTCCTCGACTGTGAGAGTAACTGTAGTTAGCGTTGAATCCTCCTCGACTAGCAGCAGCCTGTGCCAGTGCATCACGTCCGTACGGCCCAACAGCCACGCTCAATCCACCACCAACGTTCACCTGCGTACGGTGGAAAACCTTGACTGCATTCTTGGAGCCCATAATGATCATAAACTCGATCAGTTCACCGCCACCTTCGAGACCACCTCCTATACCCGCCGTGCCTATAGCAGATGGTGCAGACCACGAGCCATCATCTAGCTTCGCGATGACAATACCCGTGCCCATTTTGGCGGTAATAAGCAGACCTGCCTTGATAACTGTAAGGAAGGCAATACCTTGCGCACGCTTAAGAAAATTGACTGGGATGTAGCGGTCGCTTTCAGCACCGAAATCTGGTCGGAAAAAGTTGCCTAGAATGTCTGCTGCAGAACGACACGCACTTTCCAGCGACCGACTAAATGGTAAGTGCAGTCTTGTCTTGGTCTCATGCGGATTTTCTTTGTGGCAGTTGGCATACTGCGAGTTAAGACCATCCTGAAAGCATTGCAGGACTGGTGCGCAAATGGTGCAAACCCGTTGTGGGTGTGCCGGATCGTACTTCTTCTTCATCCTGTCACTCGCCACTTGGTCGGGTGAGATCAACATTCGCGCTGGAGAGCACGAGTGGCAAACACTTGCCTCACACTTGCGACAATGATGTCGACGTCGTTTAATATCAAACACCTCACTGCAAATGGCGCACTTGGGGTTGTCTGTATGACGAGCGATAGGGCGTCTAGGCCCTGGAGCTATAGGAACCAACTCTCCACTCGTGTTGCTCGATGTATCACTCTCAATACTGTCTCGTCGAATAAGTTCCGACGCCGAATACGGCCGTCGATCTTTCATTAAAAGACTCCTCGACGACTTCTCCTCCATCGTGATCTCACTTGAACTAGACACTTGTCGTCGGACATGATAGCTACTACTTGTAGAGCCTACTTTTCCACTACTGAGCTTGTGTTTAACATGTGCTTTGACTAATTTCTTCCTCTTCTTGTCGTCCGGAATAAGTCGTGCAAGCTGAGGCAGCATATGTTCGAGCATCAGCTCACTACCAAAATATATGGCAAGTCTCTCATAAAAAACCCGAGCTCGTAGTTCCTCTTGTCCATATTGTTTGCAGTCCAATTTAAAGGCCGAGACCACTTCATCGTGATCTTTATTAGCACCTTGAACAGCTGCGAGTATCCTCTTGTAAATAGCAGCAGCTTCGTTTCCTGCAGCAGCGGGTGGGACTTCAAATGGGTCTTTCCTTTTCTTCTTCTTCTTCTTGTCTTTGGGTTTTTCATCTTTATCCTTGGGTTTTTTCTTCTTATTCCGGTCTTTTGAAATATTCCGATAGGTACTTCCACTTGACGAGCTACCGACAGCGTGAGTAAGTAGAACGGAAGACTGAAGGACATTGCTAGGAAAGTGGAAACCACAGTGGGAACACAAGCGGATGCCTGGCGAAGTCCCAGTGTGACAGGAAGGGCACGAAGCCATGCCGTGTGCTTACCGGTAAAAAAGTCCCACGGTATAATCTACAATTTCTATACAAAAACAAAGGTTTTGTATAATTAGCATGTCTGAAGAAGTATCCGATTTTTATTTCGGTCGTTTGGACGTTAGTTTCGCAGAAATGGCTACATCTTATTGTTGCGGAGTTGTCAAGGCAGCAGTGACACTTTTGGTCGAGTGACAGTTGAAATAGAAAAAGAGTCGTTTTTTCGATAGTATAACGTGGCTAGAAAGCGGAAAACCAGGCCCATAACCTATTATCCGTTCTTCTCGAAATACGTGTATACCACCACAATCAGATAACACTAATATAACATTATGAAATACATGATAGACGACTGTCATGTGTAGGTCGCAATCTGCCGTTTTCCAACAAATTGGACTCGTATTCTATACTATTCTAGCACTTGTCGACCTCTCTGCTTTTCCGATTCACAACAATGGCTTTGCCATGTTTGTCCAAGGTGCCACGGTCTTTACTCCGTGTCCATAGATCAACGGATATGGTCTCATAAATAGCTCCACAACAATCTAGCAGCATGATGGCCTCATTACGAAGCTACTAGAGCTCTAAACCCATGCAATTTCTAATGAAAACATCATCCCGTCCTTATCCGCTGACTTGACGTGCAACAATCAAGACATCTGGTTCATTTGTCAAGCTCCTCGTAGTTTCGCAGTCGACTTCATACCGTCACTTATGGGCAACGGGTTGTCCAGTGAGATGGAAATTTTTGCCAAGGGAGAAATGGAAGCAGAACTCAAGCGACTTGGTGGCACGGGTGACGCCAATGTGAAGCAGTTGCTGGAAAAAGGGTATTACAATGTCGTACAATTGGTGATCCGTCCAACACGTTCACTTTACAATGTCGATACCCTTGGACCCGAACGCTTTCAAGTTCAAGAGCTTCATTTGAACCTGACGCAGGACGGCATCACTGAGGTTAGACGCAAAGACTTTGACGTGATCAATGAGCGCGGCCTGCGCGTGTGCTGCTCTCACTGGCAGCACTTTATTCGAGACAATAGCACGCCCTTAGTCACACCCTGTTTAATCTACTTGCACTCCAATATCGGCTCGAGACTTGATGCTCTTCGTGTACGTGACGCCGCTCTGATGCGCAGCTTTTCGGTCTTAGCTTTTGACTGCTGTGGCTCAGGTCTGTCGGACGGCATCTTTGTGACCATGGGCTGGAATGAGACCTTGGATTTATTTGCTGTGCTACAAAGTGTTGAGACAGATGCATCCGTCTCGGATGTTTGTCTCTATGCACACAGTATGGGAGCGTTTCCTGCTGTGACGAATCTGGCGCTTCGAGCCGCAGGAGCAGCAAACAAGAAGATGCAGGCGAAACTGGAGACGCTGCCGCATGTGCTGCGTACTGGACCGATATTGATCAAGCCTATTCGTGCTATTGTCCTGGACAGTGGGTACGCATCGATGAAAGAGGTGAATGAGGGATTGTTACGGGAACTGCAACACGAGGGCTTTGCTGTGCCTAAGACGGTCTTGAAGGTCGCCATGACTGCTATCAACAAGAGCGTGAAAAAGCGCACGGATGTGGATTTCGAACTGTTGCGTCCTGTGGACTTTGTGGAGCTCTGCTATGCCCCTGCTCTCTTTGTGGTTGCACAGAATGATCGCTATGTGTCCAAGCAACAAAGTGCCGAGCTTGCGAGCAAGTATGCAGGGCCGTCCAAAATACTACGCGTGGAGGGAAAGCACTACGACCCACGTGATCCTGCCACGTACACGCAGGCAGTGGACTTCCTCTACGATACGATGCATCCAAAGATAGTTAGCTAACTACTGGTACAATAGATGATCATTTACTACTTTAGTACTCATCAAGAAATAGTCGAACGTCAGCGACAACAACCGAGTAAGACGCGCAATGTGTTATTGTTCGTGCATCGTGTTAGGTTCAATGCCACCTAGATTCATTCTCGTTCCCATTTTTTTAGATACTTCTTCTCACGCTACATATCTCGCTTAACAGCAGTCGTGTTGCAGGGAAAAGTCAAACATGACGTCGACAAAGTATTCAGAGGTCGAGTCGTCACTGTCGTACAGATCCAAAAACCGAATGTGTCGTGCTGGAGACGATTCCGAACCAGAGCTGCACACATAGTCGTCCACGAAGTCGTACTCCATCATCAGCGCACGATCTTCAATATCACCGTGAGAGCTGCAACTTGTCGAAGCCTCATCCGCGTCACTTCCTAGGTCCTTTCCTTTTTCTTCTAGCCGTCGGTTTGCCACAAGTAGTGCGTATGCCTCGGTAGAGCGTTGGCGTTCAAGTCGTCGTGCTTCGGCTTCCGCTAATTCCGCGTCAATCTCATGGTAGTAGTATTGACGCAACTCGTGTAAGGAATCAAATGGAATGGCCCCCAAAAAAGACTTGTCCATGGCAAGACGAATCAACGTATCACAGACGCACTCGTCACGGTTAAGCAATCCTGTTCGATAAGGTGCAGTCAGTTCCTGCAGCGTTTCGTGCGAAACCTTGAACATCTCATACACATCAAGTGCATCGTCACACGCCATGATGCGTGGTTGGTTCAATTTAAGAAGCACAAGCCCCACTCGTAGCAGTACATGACTACCTTCACAGAAGAAAACATCCCATATCCGCATGACAGGTTCAAATGGGAGGGTGTTTAAAAAAAGACACAAAAACCATTTCAGCGTGAATGGTTCAAAGTCCACGCCCAGCGTGTGCAAGTGACTCGCCAACACCGGCAGTTTCTGAGTCACGAGATCCGAGAAAACGCGCTGGTCTGCGCGACTGCCAGTCATTGTTTGTGTATGATACTGTGGCGTCAGCTCTTCTACAATAGCTGCCAACACCCAAAAAGCCTCCTCTTCTCCCATATTTTGTAGCAGCACAGCAGCTAGAAAGTTCATGCTCTGACAGTATCCCACCGCTGGATTACGTAGTGAATAGGCCTGCAAGACACGTCGAAGCTCTCCAAAATTATCACTTTCTGTCAACTCTTGAGACTGCTTCATTGAATTCCGTAGAGCAAGTGGAAACGTCCTCGGTAAATCCTTTTCAATTTCCATCTCGACACACTTGCTTAATGTATGGAGACGATGTAGTAGCGTCGGATACGTCTCGGGCGCTTCATGTCGTAGCTCTGCTGCGCCGCTACACATCCACCAAACTTGACCACGCAACGGAGGTGGAACACCAGCCTTCAGCATCGTGTCCAATTGACGCGAATGCAACATCATCTCTGCCGTCGTGGCAAACATCGAAAACGTCATTTTTGACGTCGTTTTTGACGACGGGGTCGTGTCGTTTGGATGTTCAATAAAGCGTTTATGGTTCTCTTTCCATTTTTGACACACTCGTTCTGGGGTCCAGTCATGAACATAAAAACGTTCACTCCATTTGTGTAGTCTGTAGCGATAGAGACTTTCCGCTGTGTCCATTTCAGCCTCTGTCTGCTGCTCAAAGTCGACGAGACACTGCAAAACTTGTCGCTTGCAATGACAGGCCAATTTCAAGCGATTATCGGCTGTAAATCCTCGTTCTTGTGCATTTAAGGACGCTGTGGTTAGACGGAAACGATGCTTTGGACGGAAACACGCGAGCTGATGCCCATGCATGTGAGTCGTAGGCATCAAGTCGGTCATTATTCTCTCGGTCGGTTTTTTACTTTCTGACCTTTTTTGACCTTGTTCTTATCCGTTTTTGACATTGTTCGCTTAAGTACGAACGAAAGAGAGTGATGGTCGACTTTGTCGTAATCGATTATTGACATAAGACGATCATGAACTTCCAGACGTTAGCGACACGAGTCTCGACGCCGTTCGTCCGGTCTCTGCATGCTTCAGCATCATCATCGTATCTTGTTCGCTCACTAGACGACGTACGTCTAAGTAACCGTATTATTACTAGCGAAAATGGAGCGCTCGAGACACGGTATGACTTGTGGGATTCTCAATAACGTCAATATTGTCAAAAATACCCATATGTTTTTGACCATTTTCAAATGTAGACGCTATCTTGTCCGGAATGACGAGTGCGGGTTTTCCATGCAGCAGGAGGTGCTAAAGAAGGGTCCACCTGTGCATTTAGCATTCCAAAATCACGTGTACGCGCTTCTAATTACGCGTGGCAAGGGCCGCGTACGGCTCCTGGACGGCCCGGGCTCGTTCCAAGACGTGGCAGAAGGCTCGCTCCTAGCCCTCAATGCTGCTGAAGCAGTGGAGATTGAGGCCGTTTCTGACGAACTGCATGCCGTGAGCGTCATGAATCCGCCACTTTTTGGCGGTGAGAAAAAGAACGAGACGACGGGCGTGTTTCCAGCTGTGGATTTAGATGGAGAAGAGCTCGAGAGCTTTGATTCAGCGATTGGAAGCCGTCTATTTTCAGCCCCTGAGTCGTTGAAAGGCGGGAGTGCCCCTATGAAGGATGATCCGTTGTTTTAGGAGGAGAGAGAAGGAAATTGTGACGTTTGACATGATTTTTGACTTCTTTTTCTTTAGAACTACATGGCAACAAGACGGTGAGATGAGGGCGTTTTGTTGTTGAAGTGATGACTGTAGTAAATATTCTGATGGAGAAATATCACGACAGGAGTTGTCTTCGATTTTACGATGGAGTTTGGCCTTGGAATTGAAGGTATAAGCACATAATGGTGCAATGAATCGATGATAAGATTGTTGTTTTATGGAAAGTATACTGTTTGTGGCGGAGTAGTCAGTCGGCTAGCGGAAGGATCTTGCACAACGCCTTAGCGGCTGCAAGACGTAGGTGTTGTGCGTTCAGCTGGATTGTGCATTGAGCTGGATGCAAACGTGTCAGAGTTATTTAATGCACCGAGAGTGCTGTACATGTATAGATTTCTCCTACCCTGTACATGTACGGATTTCTCCTACCTCCCGGTTGTTATGGTCAGTTCGGCGAGGCGTAAATGTCGTTTGGCGTGGCCATGTTGTGTGTCCATATGCACGCTTATCTTCTGCCAAGCAATGTGCTGGTATCAGATATGCGCAGCCAACTTTACTGAGCTAACTCTGTGTGGAATATTCACTTTTGCTTCAACAGGTTTCGTCACGACTAGTTTATTCTGAGCTGTTGCAATGGCTTTATTGTAGATTGCGATTCAGAGCGGCATTTGCTTAGCCACGATACCGCTGATGAAACGATTCACGGCGTTTGTCAAGCGGTGCCTGCGATGCTTGCAATATAAAGTATTCGCCAAGAGCTGAAGCAGACACTAGCCTGACGAACGTCGGTCCAGTCCGTTGCCAAGTCGAGTTTTACTTCGCCAAGCGTGATAAACAAACAATGAAATTGCCCGAGGAATCAGCCGATGGAAGTACGAGTGGTCGTTACAAATGGAAGCGGGCCGTTTTGACAATGACAGTACGGAGCTGACAGCCGCACGGCCATCGTGCTCGAAAGGAGGAACAGGAATTTGAAGCGATACAGTGTTGACACTCGGGAGTACACTGTTGCCGGGAGATACGCAGCAACTTGAATTTACCTTTGTGTCAAGCGTATGCAGGTGTGTATCTCGAGAAATGGTTGCTGTGATGCTGACCGTTGGCCTCATATATGATAGATTATATAATAAGTCACGACTCTACCTGCATATTCTACCTTTGCAAGGTAGAATTGCTACCCTTTTCTATATTATTTTTCATCATTTTGCAATATTATTTGGCATCAGAAGTACTTCAATAATTATACAGTGGAATAAAACCAATCGTTGTACGTGTCAATTAATCTGTAAAAGTATCTCTTTATTATGTTCCAAAACGTTTATATGATCATAAAATCATTTTATCATTTTTAAACGCTAAAAAACGTTCAAAGTACCACAATATATGGAAGAGTACGACCGCAATGCGCCACTATTTGACCGTCGTTTCCACGTATTAGTGCAGTATCCCGACCGCGATGAAAAGCTTCTACCACTCACTATTCGTTTGCTGACCGGTACTCGCGTGCGTGCGTGCGTGTCTCTCTCTCTCTTTTTTTTCTTCTATTTTACAATATTATTCCAATAATAAAAACATACTAAAAAAATTATTGAAACGTTTTAACAGCAAAATAATACCAAAAATCAAAAAGTGCGCGTCATCCGTGTCGAAATTACCGATGACGACGGCAGTGACCCGTACTTTTTATACATCTGGAGCGTCTCGGAGGAAGAATTTCACCAAGTTAAAGCACAGGAGCGACTTCTTGTGGATTTTGCGACATTTCCAGCCAATTTCATTGAGTTGCTGCAATGTTGCTTGAAACATAGCAACAACACTAGTGCAACTGAAGACAAGAAACAGGTGGAATTGGAAGAAGTGGAGGAAGAAACAGCTGTTTCTGTCAAGAAAGGAGCCAAGGAGAGTCTTAAGCAGCCGAAAACAAGGTCGACTGGACCTCTTCCATTGAGGTGAGACGATTTTTCTCTTTTTTTTTTCTTTGTTCTTGTTTTTTTTGGTGAAATTCTGAGGAATTTGTGTATGTTTTGCAGTTATTTAGCAGTCTTAAACACATTGGATTGTAATGGACAATCGGTGTTTAGTATTGTGGAGACGAATTTATTCAAGCAATTGACACATTTGTCACTGAGGTTTTTACCGGGTGATGATACTACGACGAAAGCATATCTTGCAGCGCGGTTGGCGCAGGTGGAGGCAACACGACGTTCATTGTCAACAGCTTTGAAACAGACGAGTGAAGAGCTACATGTTACACAGACGAGTGAAGCAAAATTGCAGCATCAATTGTCGGCGATGGGCTTTGAAGCAGAGTCGACGCTTTCACAGGAGAAAATGAAATTTGCGGATGCTTTGGATGCTCAGCGTCGGGAAGCGGCGAGTACATTGAAAGAGCGTGAAGGTGAGCTAAACGCTAAAATTGACGCACTCGTGGAGCGGTACGAGAAGGAGGTATGGAGTAATTGTGCTTGTTGAAGAATCTGGTTCAAGACTAATTATTGTTTGTGTGCGGGGTAGCTCCAAGCACTGAAGACAACAGCAGAGGCAAGTGAAGCGCAAGCGCAAGATTTGACGAAGCAAAAGTATCAGCACGAAATGCAGATTGATCACCTACGTGCTCAGTCGCAAGACCTCACTCAGAGCAAAAGTGCATTGTCAGGCGAGGTGGATGAGCTGCGCACTCAGAACAAAGAACTGGACCAAAAAGTCTTTCAACAGGAAAAGCGGATCAATGCTCTTCAGGTACGCGAAGACGCGCTGCAACAGCAGCTTGCAGATAAGGAGGACGTGATTAAGAAGACCACAGATCTCTTGCATTCGGCAAAGTTACACAATGAGGAAGTTGATGAGTCATTGAAACTGTATCGCGACAACCATGCAAGGCTCCAGCAAAAGCTCGAGCTTAGTATCTCGGAGATCAACAAGGTGAGCAGCACGTGGCATCTAAATGACTTTGCGCGTGGCAGATTTGACTGAGCCTTTTACATGATGTATGTACTGCTGCAGGGAAATGAGATCATCGAACGTATACAGAACGAAAATCGTACACTGAAGTCCAAGATGCGAATGAAAGCTAAGATTATCAAGCAGCAGGAACAGGTACGATGGCTTCGTAGTTGTGCTTCCGATAACATTGGCTCTGACACTTAGTTACGAATGTATGCTAGCTTGTCGAGGAAAAACAATTTCAGCGTGAAGAAGCATTACTGGAGCTCAAGTCGATCAAGGACGATATCCGCAAGCGAGACGAGCATGTTTTACAATTGAAGGTGCGCCTTACGAGCTGGCATGCGCTGCTATTCGTCATCTTACTATCCATTTCTTACTTTTAAACAGGTTACAATCAAGGAACTGAGTCAAAAACTCGAAGATAGCAACAAGTTACTGGCATCTAACCAGCAAGGTATGTTTACAAAATCCGGTATTCCTGTCTGATTATTCCCCTTAATCTAACGTTATGTGGTTTTAACACAGTAATCACATGGCTGAACAAAGAGATTAACGAAGCACAGCTTGGCCACCAGCGCAGATCGACTACCCACCCATCTGTACTTGCATTTCATCCATCCGACAAGATGGTCAGTAACTCCTGATTTCATCGACGACCATCATCCCGCTAAAATATCACGGCCAACCAGCTACATGAATTTTTGATGCTTGCTACCAACCTCAAGCCACTCGTCACTTCGCGTCAACGGTATCTTTAGTACGCATACCATACTCTATATGCCATCTCGGTGGCAGCGGATACAGCACAAGCAGCAATTTTTACGCAGAAGCACATCTTCTTCGCGACATTCCGTACGTTTCCACGAGCTAAATCACCAGCCCACCGTCGATTCGAATGCATTGTCCTGTGATGTAGGCTGCTTCGTCACTTGCCAAGAACGCCACGAGCTGTGCCACCTCGTCCGCTTTCCCGTATCTCGCCAATGGGATGTTGCTCAGAATGCGGGTCCGCATAGCATCAGTCATTGCGTCCGTCATGTCCGTCGAGATAAAGCCTGGTTCGACGAGATTCACGCGGATATTGCGATTGCCAAACTCTTTGGCCAACGTCTTGGTGACCCCCGCAAGTCCCGATTTGGACGCACTGTAAGCCACTTGCCCCACATTCCCTGCAGCCCCCACAACACTTCCGATATTGATGATGCTTCCCTGACGTTTCTGCATCATTCCTTTTGCCACTGCTTTGCTCATGTGCACAGGCCCCACGAGGTTCGTAAGCAGCAATTCTTCCAGATCAGCATCTTTGAGTCGCAGTAGTAAACTCTCTTTGGACATTCCGGCAGCATTGATGAGAGCCAAGGGACTAGCTCCAAATTCCTTGGATACTTGAGCCACAAGCTGTGCAGCTTCATAGCTCGCATCTTCTTGACTTCGTCTTGGACATCTGTATGCAAGAGGTAAAACATCATGAGAAATCTGCTGCGATGCTTTGTGAGCTCGTTCTAAATCTCGAGAAGTTATGGCCACCTGCCAGCCACGACGATAAAGCTGCTGCGCCACGGCAAAGCCGATGCCACTGCTGCCTCCAGTTACGAGAGCCACACGTGCTTTCATTGAGTAAGGAGGGGGGGGGGGTCGATTAGGTCTGGCAAGGTTATGACGAGACAAGTTGAGTTGTGAGACGAGACGAGAACGATTGGTCACGACGCTTTGTAAACTTGAAGATTACTAGCTCTCTCTACGTGGTAATTTTACGGAGCCATGAACATCGATGACGGTGACGGACACTCGATTGAGTTGCCCGTGTACGTGAGTTTACCAGTGTTTTTGTCAACACGGAATACGTCGAGGCTGTTGGTGTCTTGGCTGACCGCCAGCAAAAAGTCCTTGTATAGGAGGATGTCGCGAGGCGTCTTGCCATGGGTTGGGATGACCTCCACTACCTCGAGACGTGTGTCAGGCAGGATCTTGTAGACAGCAATGGTGTCGCTGAAGCGCGTAGCCGCGTAGACAAACTTGTTGTCGCTCGAGATGTGAATATCCGACGCTAGTGGAGGAGGACCCGAGTAATTGTTTGGCAGCGTCGAGATATTTTGCAGCGCCTTGTGACCTAATTTGCCAGTCTTGGTGTCTAATGGATGCACACCAACAGTGTTGTCTAATTCATGAATGACGTAGCCGACACCAAGCTCCGGGGAGAGTGCAAAATGCCGCGGACCCGATCCGGGAGGACGAGTAATGAGCTCCTCATGCACTAGTTTCTTGGTAGCAACGTCGAGTGTGTACTGCCCGATTCGGTCCGTTCCCAAGTCGGCTGCCACGAGACCTGTTGATGTCCATGCTGTGCTATGAATATGAGAGGCATCTTGACGGTCCGGATTGACTAAACTTGCACCTTCAAGACAATGATGATCGGATGCAGGAGCAAGTGATCCATCGGCATTCACAGGATACAGTACTAGACCGCCACCGTAATTGGCAACGGACACAAAGTCTCCATTAGGACTAAGCGCGATATGACACGAGTAGGTACCACCTGTTTCCTGTCGATTGAGTTGAATTAACTTGCCGTTTTTTTCCATTTTGTAGGCGGTTATAAATCCCGTTTCTTGTCCCGATCGAAGCACTGACGCTTCATTACATTCGTTCACACTGTAAAGTATCGAGCGAGCGGAACCAAAGACAAAAGAGGGATTTGTCCCACTATTTTCCGTGATTTCAAGCAACTCGAGCACGCCCGTCATGTCATGGAATGAATAAGCGTATATTCCCTTGCCATGGCCATTCACGTGACCTTCTTTGCGTGTATATGTACCAACATATAGAATTGGCATCTTGTCACACGTAAAATGGATTCTGAGTTTTGAGCCGGGGGGGGGGGGGGGGGGAGGGAGGAAGGGATCTGCTCACGAGATGGGTACATGTCCGTTAGCAATCACTTATTTCAATACAAAATGTTTACGTCTCTCTTAATTCATTGTCCGTATTCCATCATCGTCATCTCTCTACCAATCGACTGGCTCTTCATATCCGATGGCTACAGGACGACGTGCTACGTCAGGACTTGGTAGTAATTTGTATGCGAATTTTCTAGCAAACCACTTGCGATGGACTGATGATGTCGAGCCAAGCAATCATTCTCGTCATGCGTTGGAGATTAATACCATTACTTCGAATGGAACAGCGCTTGGACTTGAAACGTCCATTGTCACTTCTTTTTTTAAAGCTGCTGTCAAACGCAGTGTCGAGTCTGCACTTGTCTATGAAAGCCACGTCAATTCAGTCATCACGTCGAGTATTCGTGTGACATCGTCACGTCATTTGGCTTTACAGGCACATCTTGAAGCGAATGAAAATGTGCGGTTTACGTTGGAAGCTCAAGAATCTGCAACGGAAAAAGCACCGGCTTCATTTGCACGTATTGGAGTCGATTACACGACGTCTGATGCATTTGCAGGTGTGAAAATTGATCCAGTTAATGGACCGACGTTGCAAGCGACAATGGGAGGAAAAATTGGGGCAGTGGGGATTGGAATTCAGGGAGCTTATGATGTTGGACTCGATCATAGTGATCGACTTGGTCGATTCACGACACTTGATATGGCTACAAGTTATACTCATAAAGAGTTACTGGCTTTGCTACAAGTGTACGTGGAGGAGAGGGAGATGAAGGACAGGTAGATTGAGTTGATGCTGACGGTGGTATTGTTTTGATGTTGTTGCTAGGAATGATGGCGGACGAGCAATGCGACTAGATTTGACACAGACGTTATCACCAAAGTTGATCATGAGCTCGAGGTTTGTACTTGACACAAGAAAAGACAAAAGGGTCTTGAGATTCTTGGGCAAGTACGTGTTGAGTGAGACGGAGGCACTTTCCAGCTCTATTGGATCAGACGGTATTTTTATTGGAGCATTCGAGTGGTGCACGTCTAAAAACTTGAAGACCCGTGTGTCGGCACAGATGGACTTGCGACACTATGAGAGCGATTCGAATCATCTTGGCGTATCTATAGAGATCAGCTAGAGAGGTGAGACGGGTAGTATATATAACAAGAGGGTCGGGCTCGCTGACACGAAAAGCTACGACGACAGGGGTAAAACTGAAGAGAAAAACGACAAACTTGTTGGTTGAAAGAAAACAGCGCTGGTGGTTTTGCTGCATTTACTTGGCGTAGATGACAGTGTCACGCTTAGAGCGCGCGATCACGTTGCCCTTCTCATCACGCGCGCCAGGAGCAGCTTTTGCGGATGGATGGTTAGCAAGCTCGCTCGGTACAGACATCTCTGTCGACACGAGGTACTGCTTCAGATCGTACATGATTTCGTCATCGTTGTCCGTGAGGAAGGAGATTGCAACACCGTCCTTACCGGCACGACCAGTACGACCGATACGGTGCGAATAATTCTGAATCTTGGACGGCAGGTCGAAGTTGACAACATGAGTTACATCAGGGATATCGAGACCACGTCCAGCCACGTCCGTTGCCACTAGAATATCACAATAGCCTTCACGGAACATCTTGAGGCTTTCCTCACGCTGGTCCTGGGTCTTACCACCGTGCAGAATCGTGCAGCGGAAACTCTCGTTAGAAACGAACTTGGCAACCGAGTCGCACTCTTTCTTGATGTTGACAAACACAATGATCTTGGCGCCATCTACGACTTTCTCCTTCCGAGACCGCGGCGTTGGTACCGATTGAGCACTTAGAATCTCTCGCAGCACTTCCACCAGCTTCGAGCGCTTCTTGCCCGGGTTCATGAACATTACGCGCTGGTCAATACGCTTGTTCTTGCCAGAGTCCTCGTCACCAATCTTGACAATCGAAGGGTGGCGCAAAAATGTCTTGGCCAGCCGTTCCACCTCGACAGGCATCGTAGCACTAAACATAGTGGTAACACGAAGGCGGTGCTGTAGCTCTTCTCCCAGCTGAGTCCCATTTGCCAACGTAAGCTGTTGTTCCATCTCCTCTTCATTCTCAGATTTTAGCAGAGATCCCATGTTTTCTAATACGGTAACCACCTGAGGCTCGAAACCCATATCAATCATGCGATCAGCTTCATCCAACACTACGTAGTTACACTGGTTTAATACCAGATAGTGGCTTTCGAGACAGTCCATTAATCGACCAGGAGTACCGATGATGATATCTATACCCTCACGGAGACGGAATCCCTGGTCCTCAATACTTTGCCCACCAACAACCGATAGTGTCTGAATGGGGTTTAGCTTCTCAGGTAGCCCAACACTTGTGTACTTGCAAAGTTTGATAGCTTCCTGTTCAATCTGTAAAGCCAGCTCGCGGGTGGGTGCCATGACCAGAGCTAGCGGACCTTGCTCGCCAGTCCGCGCGACCATCGTGGCCGGAAGCGAGTAGATGTAAGCAATGATGGGGATCACAAAGGCAGCAGTTTTACCTGAACCAGTCTCGGCAATACCGATGATATCACGCTTTTGCAGCCCAATAGGGATAGCTTGCATTTGAATAGGCGATGGCCGTTCGAAGCCCATCTCTCCGATAGCTTTAAAAACAGCAGCGGGAAGCACATTGCTGGCTTCATCCCACTTGCGCAGGGGCTTTGGAGCCCGACCACCTTTAAGGGTGATGTCAAAGTCCTCGCGAAAGATACGCCAATCACGCTCTTTCATCTCATCCAGCGATTTGTCAGACCAGTGCGTGCCCATTGTCTTGGCTTCTTGTGTAGCCATCTCCTGCATACGGTCCCGCTCGTGAGCCTGCATGCTGCGTAGAGCACGTTCACGCTCGTGTTTTCGAGCTGCAATTTGTTCCCCCGTCAACGTGCCATTTGCTTCATCTGCAAGCTGCTGTTCTTTCTGGCGTTTGTGACTAAGCTCTTCCAGAAACGAGTTTTTCTTTCGTTGCTCGCGCATGTCTACACCAGCTCGATAACCCCGTCCAAACAAAAGATTCACATCCATACGCTTCGCATACAATGGGTTCAGATCAGCACTTGTATCTTCGGACGCCTCCCAATCAAATTGAAAAATCTTGGAGAACTTCTCACTTGCTTTCACCACTTTCTTCTTTTTTACAGTTTTGCCCAAGTACTGGTCCTTTAGTGCTTGCAATGCCTTAGCTTCACTTGGATCCAATAGTGCCGACTTCTCCTTCTTACACAAAGAAGATAAATTCTCCACTTGAGCCTCTCCTTTTTGATTCAAACTCGCCGTCGTGCAATCATCTCGACGACGATCTCCACTAGATCTCAACCCTCTACTTCGTTCTCGCTCTCTCTCATTCCGTTGACGGTGTAGAAACTCCCGTCGAGCCTTTTCAGCTTCCTTTCGTTGTTTCTCAACCTGTTAAATATAAATTTCATATATTTCGGTAATAAATAAATGATACTCTACAATATAAATTACATACAACCCCCCTCCAGCATCTTTTTATTACCTCCTGTCGTTTCTTCTCGAGCTTCTCAAGTGCGTCCTTTTCTCTCTGTGCCTTTGAGCGGAACTTGAGCTTACTAGGTGCCTCTCCTTCAGCTCTAGAAACCTCTACGATCTTCAATGGCAACTTCCGGTCGCTTGTAGCACCAATAGACGCATCTTGAGGCTTTAAAGTGGCTGAAACTTCTTTTATTTGTCGCTCAGCTGCGCGCTCTTCGGCTCGTTTTGCAATAGCAGCAATGCGCTCGGCTTCTTGACGCTGTTTCTCGTCTAATTCCACGGCTAAACGCTTACTCACTGAGCGCGAACGTGAACGCGAATGTCGCCGCTTTCGGTCGACCATATCGTAAGTTATCAAGTCGTAAGTTATCGGTACAATTTAGTTTACTTCCCAAATTAATTTACCGAATAAATGACACAAACAAGTTCCGAACAGGACAATATGAGGCTTTGACGATACTTGTTTGGCATGTTAATACGGACAAGTGCAAGTAGATACTTCCTAGTCTCGTGTTCTACACCATCCTTTCCATTGCTCACAGCTGTGGACTGCTAGAAAATCCACTAGCACTAACACTTTTAGTCTGCGACGCAGGGTGATGCGACAATCGTCCACGAACAAAACCACCAAAGCCCTTTTTCTTCTGCTGTTCCTTCTGCATCTCAAGCTGATGCACACGAGCGCTGTATTTGGCGGCCAGATCACGAATCACACCGTCGTCGTCACGGAATTCACCAATAACCTGGCGGAAATCAGAAACACGCTCTGATGCCAACGCTTTTAGAAATGGAATCAAGTCCTTCAATTCATGGTCGTCTCGATCCCGTCCATCGGTAAAAGGCTTGAGAGGAATGGCATTCTCCGGCTGTAATTGATACGCCGCTGGATCATCATCTAGAATCACCACTTGACGCAGATTCCGGTTGAGGTTCGACAGATCCTTCACGTGAGCACCGTTCATATAGCGCGTAGCATCACGGGACAGCACGTGCAGTGCACATTGCTTTGGGTCCAGCTTTTGCACAATCTCCTCTGCACCGTAGTTCTGTGAGAAAATCACAATCTCATAGTACTGGCACAATGTCTCCAAAAACTCGTCCACACCTGGACGCTTGGCATGACGCCAGCCATGTTTCCGCTGCACCACCAAAAAACATACACACACAAGAAGATTAATTCACACACTAGTAAATAACATCCTACCAAGTACCTATTCTCTTCACTAACAGCAACAACGTACACTCCATTCCGAATGCACAAGTGTATCTTCTAAATCCAGTACCAAGACGGGAACCGGTGGCGTATTTGCTGGTACTTGAGGGATTGGCCAATCTGGTAGTAGTTTTTGTCGTGATGGATCCGTAAAAGGCTTGACTGTTTCCTGTACTTTCTTGGCCACAAATCCATAGACATCGCCAAGGAACGTAGCGCCCAATGTCTCCTTGATACGGGATTTAATACTATCGTCGAGCATAAAATGCCATAAAATGGATCCAGAGATACTGCCAGCCAATACTGCAAATGAAATACGAGCAGGAAGTGACGACGTACGCACGACTTTGTGCTCCGAGGCGTCCATCGAGTGGTTTGCGGCTTTACGCGCCGCTTGTCGCTCAGTTCGTGGCACCACTTTTAATGGAATGTTACGTCCTACTTTAGTAAAGACAGAAGACGATTCTGACATGGAAGAAGAGGGAAGAGATGACTTGGTACTCAACATCAAACGACGGACCGCCGACGTCCGTATACTACGCTGTACACTCGACAGCACGAGCCTCTGCATCTCGTCGTCGCTGGAAATATATTTACTGGCGGGCGACTATCGAGCGAATGAATGTGATGCGAAGGTCGCGCGGTGCACAAGTGACGCGAATGTGACGCGAATGTAACAGACCCCATCAAAGTGGGAGAATCCCATCTAGTAATAAAGATGATGATGGTGGTGGTAATGCTGTTGGTCTCGAAGGTGTTGGCCCAGGGCGATTTTGCAATGCTTGATCCCGATGTGGCTGCTGTGGCTGAAGATCCTGCGTTTAATCCGTATCATGAGAATGTACAAATGGTGGAGACCGACGCGAAAGTTCGGGACATTGAGAAATTCGATTTTGATCCGTCGGAAGGTCTGACGTTTTACGTGACGGGCAAAAGTCGTGCATGTTTTTACCAAGAAACCAAAGAGAAAGAGGATGAATTGAGTGGGGCTTATATAGTGAGCTCTGCTGATTCTCATGTTGACTTGGAGGTGAAGAATCCAGAGAAAGTGACGATTTATCGTCAATTGGGGGACGCAGAGGGACAGTATCTTGTCAAACCCACGTAAGTACTACTTGTGGTGTTACGAAGGATTGATTAAGGCTCATGTCTTGATGTTTATGTGGTTAGACAAGCAGGAGTGTATGAATTGTGCTTTATTAATCCAGATTCGGACAGTAAAGTGGTGACACATGTGACTAAAACGCTCCAGTCACAGCATCCTGTTGAAAAAGGTTTGTGTGATTGTGTACTTGTACTTGTACTTCGACTTGCTAACTGTGATTTCATTGTATTTGTCGTGTAGAACATGTGAGTGTGTTGGCCAAGTATGCGTCACACTTAGATGTGCGTCTCGGTGAGCTAGAGTCTGAGCAGAGATTGCAGCTGATTCGGACAGACAGGCATATCCTCGGTAAGGAAGTTGAGATGTTTTGCAACACCCTCCCTGGATCTTTGTTTTTACAAAGATCTCTTTTGTCTGCTAATTTATTTGGTGCTTCAAATTTACAGTGGAGGAGGAAATGAACAAGCGCGTCATGTTCTACGGAGCACTGGAGTGCATCATCTACCTCCTAGTGTGTTTCTACCAGGTGTATTACATTAAGGGCTTGCTTGACAACCCGCAGAAAGCGCGGTCCTGGGTGTGAGGGAGCTGAGAATGCCATGCCTACCATAAGGTTGTAGGCACGACGAAACACGTTTGCTACGGCGCAAAATATGCAAGAGATGTTTGCTTTGCTTAGACGTGTCGCATGGCTTGATACCAAAATCAGATTCAAAAGACATAACGGTACACCTCCATCCTTTTCAGTTACGGTGTCGATAAGCTTGCATCAAGTGCTTTGATATACACGAGGTCGGGTCTGTTATCGCTCGGTCGATATCGATTCCATAAATCCAAAAACCCAGGCCCAAGTTCTTGAGCCTTGTTCCCTTTTCCGTCTTCATATATCCACAGGTAGCATCGCGCAACGTCTTCAAGTTCTTTTTCAGGCAGGTTTAGTACAGTCCACCACGGCTCATTCGTCTCAGTCGCTACATTCGGCCCCACTTGATGGTGATACAAGCAGGCCAGGTACACTGCGCCAGCAGCAAGTGCGATGCAATCAAATGCAAGACATAATCCACTCTTGACAGCATCCGCGATCAACAGAAACGTGATTTCGCGAATATTTTCGTACACAATGTCTGGGTGTATTGCGTCTAGACCAAAAAGTCTCTCCATATGTGGTGCAACGTACGCGAAGGGCTGCGGCGGTCCGATTTCAAACGATAATGTCAGCAGTAGAATCCGTTCAAGTAGCAGCACTTTACTGGCATTAGCTTCAATCTCTCCAACCTCGACAACCTCCAATAAAGCGTTTAGCCACTCAATGTGTTTAGTATTTCTTGTGTCCTTGTCCTCCTTTCCAGCATTTGAGTTCGTTTCAATCAAAGGAATGCCTTTTAACCGGAACCTCTGTTTTGTTTTCATTGGTAATGGAGCAGGTGATGGAGAGCGTTGAAAGACTACTGGGCTCGTAGTTTTATAGCCACGAGTCTTGTGTTTCATCATGAGCGTCTCTTGAGCTTGTTTTCGACACAAAAGAAGATACATGGAACACTCTGTAACGTACCGAACCTTGACTAAAAACTCCTCTGTCTTTCCAGCTAGAAACAGCGCCGCCGTGGCGACAAGAAAGCGGTCATGAGTTGCAAACGAATGCATCATATAGAACCTTTGGACGAATAATTGAGCTGCTACACTAGGAGCATCAGGCATGTCTAATAAGTGCGCCAAGTGTTCAACAAAAGTGCACGTTGTACGTCGCAATTGTTGCTCGATTTGCCATGGTACATTTGATTCTATTAAGCTTGGTGTATCAAACATCGACAAAAGATGCTTGTCAGCGTTTTCCTTCTCAGCATCATTTAATGTCACGCTTGATGGATTATTAGACTGCAAGAGTACAGACCGTAGTGCTGGAAAGACCCATTTGTCAGCAGGTTCTGGCGCCATACGAAAAAAAACGTGAGAAATATTACCTCAAAGACAATTGTTTCTTCCAATACTGATTCACTTGGACTAATTAAGAAGAGAATTCCAGACGAATAATAATAACAATAACGAAAATAGTAGTACTACATATACATGTTACTGCTGTAGTATAATATTCTATAAGAGGTGAAAATATTCATTGGCGTGAAGATTACAGCTTCAAAGTAGCAACACACACATGCATTCGCTGTTCAACAGGTATACTCTGAGCTATAGTACTAAGCCTCAACGTCCATATGCGTGGCACCTTTCGCTCTTTTCTTTTTAAGAGCGTTGGTCTTCTGCAGCAACTCTTGATTGGCCTGCACCACGGTATTCTGCAGATGGGCCTGAATGGCCGCAAATGGGTCGCTCTTGAAACCTTTATGAGTCTGTACGGCCTTGAGCTGGCCCAGCTCACGCACCGCCAGCTTCTGGCGTTGACGACCACTCAGCGCTTTCTTTTTCCTGTTTCTCAAACTTTTGCTCTTCTTTTTATCGTCAACGGCCTCAAACAGTGAGCTCTGGAGCTCTTCCAGACCAGCAAACACGCCGCTTGTCTGCGTCTTGACCAGGTTTTGCTGCTCCTGCGTCACGCGTGACACCATTCCCATCTTGCGCATAAAAGCAGCACGCCGCTTCAGGCGCTTGCGTTGCCCACGACTCAAACTCTGCATATCACCGCCATCTTCATCGGCTTCATTGTCCACGGGTGCACCGTCTTCTTCTGGCTCGTCGCCAAACGTGGCAGCTACAGCCGCGGCGCCCAATGATACGTCTTCTGTTTTGTGTACTTTTTGTCGGCTAGAAGAAGCTTTTGAGTGTGCGGCTACGCCGTGTAGACGCGTCTTTTTCCGTTGTTGACGAGCCATAATCGAGACCGAATGAATCGAGAAAGAGACACAGAATATATGCGAGATGCACGCGTAGTAGCGGTCGCAGGTGCTTGGGAATGACGGTTCGTGAGTGCTTAGCCAGTCATAACAAAATCGCACTTAATAGGGCAATGAAGCTACTATATCATATACAAAATAGATACAGCTGACCCGTTGTTGAAGTTGTCGACGAAAAAGTGTATATACCTTTTGGTTGATTACATGTACTACTTTTTATGTAAATGAGACCTTTTGCGACGCGAGACTTGACTTCAGTATCGGCATTCATTGTTACAATTCACGACGCCAATGAGCACGTCGTCACTTGACTTTTCCGTAATAAACGAGCCACTCGAAATCACCCTGGCACACATTTATATCGAGCTAGCACAACATTGAGTTATCGATGTTAAAGACCTTGAGACTAATGGTATTATTGTTTACCATGGACACGTCGATACGAAGTAATATGGTCGATAGGTTGCCACCTTGAGAAAAGTAACACCCCAATCCGTGACTGTCGTGTTGCCACCAGCAGTGATATCCGAGTTGTCGGCCTTTGCGAGCGCAATGGGAGGAAAAGAGCTGGTTAGCTTGAGCCTAAGCACCAACAAGTCGTACGAGTTGGTCTCATTCGCGTACATTGGATGAGTAGCTCGATATGATGGAGCTGTCGATTCTGTCTTGGGTATAACTTGCGAGATGTATTCCTGATAGTTGACTATAGTCGGAAGGTGCTCACCGTCGATCTTTAGTTGGCCATCGGTATTGACCGCGATTGCGGTCGTAATGGCAACGAGACGAGCGAATCGAACCAAATTTATGGAAGTGAAGCGAAGAGATTTGGACAATGTAGTAAGTCTGTCATGAAATGAGAGACCCTTGCAGTGAAGACTAGAGCTTCGGCTACCACTAATTATACAGCGATGTTAACGTCCAGCATGGACACAACTCATTATGGTAAACGATGCAACAAGAGTTATCAGACTGGATTCGTGGACATCTAAGTTCCTGACTCAAACAAGCACTTTAACTTGCTTTGCGGGGTAGACGTTATGTCAAATGAATGACGTAAATGAATTCGCCATTCACTAGATCATGAAGCTTATGCCGACGCTAAGAGTAGACGATAACGAGGTGCGCTACTGCTTCTTCCTTCCTGTTACCTCAGCAAAAGACGACCTTTCTTGATAACAGAGCAGCACTCTAGTTAGCAATGGGCGTTCTGTATGTTCTAGCGTCGGCTTTGTGTCCTTTTCGTCAACAAAACTACTGGACCTGGATTATAAAATGTTACCAACTTGCTGGAGTCATTTGCATCTCAAAAGGGTCATGCTGGACCTGTAAGCACCATTTTGAACGCAATGAGCTTTTCTTGGAGAACGCCCGCAACAGAGCTTGCAATAAGTGTGGCCATGCGAACAACTATTGCATGTGTGGACATTCCAAATACATGTTAGGACACCAACACTTCTTAACTGTCTGCAGTGTTAGGTATACTATCCTTGGCGGTGGTTACAGAAGGTTCTGCGCTTACTGGGACGGTTGCGGTAGCGTTAAGCGGCATTGCTGCAACTGCTGCTGGTGACAAATTGTCACCTTGGCACCACGAGAAGAGAAATTGTCGCGCCTGAGCTTCTCGTCCTTCAAACCGCTTCAGCTTTTCTGCCATTAACTGAAGCTGTGAAGACAAAATACAGATGAGAAGAGATGATACCAAAGCGAAGGTGTCAAACAGAATGAGCACAAAACCACTTACTTGTGTCTTGAGCGCCTCTTTCTCCAACTGCATCGCCCGAATCTTCTCCTCTAGAGCTAGCACTACATGCTGTGGATATAGCAACGGCTTCGGCGGTGAGGGTTTCGCCTGTGTTGTCACACTATCATCAAGATGCCTGGGAAGATCACATTAGATTTTCTGCCACATGTAAGCATCCAAAGTGTATGATCCGTATCTGTCCTTAGAGGGAATTCTAGCCCTCCAAAGTCATCAGGAGACCATGATGAACGCCCATGAGGCTCCAACCTCGATATGTGGGGTCTTTTAAACGATTGGCACTGGTGCGGCGTGGAAAATACCTCTAGCCATGATGCACCACATCGAGCAAAACCCCAAAAATATACAAACAAAGATACAGCAGCGACATCGGAAACGCAACGTACCCTAGGTGACTTTGTATGGAATCGTCATCCTCCTTGCCTTCACCTTCAGCAATGCGCAGCGCGTCCAAAAAGTCGTGAATCGCTGATATTTTTAATGCAATAACTCGTGACATGGTTGATTGCTGCATGTGTGAAGATTCGATGGCCTGTGCACGTTCACTCAGCGGCGATATTGCCGCCTCCGGGCTGTGTTTGTACATACAAAGCTCGGTCTCACGTGCCATGAGCTTCTCGTGCAGCAAAGTCCTTTCAGCCTCCGAACGAGCAAGACGTTCTTCTAACGCCCCAATCCGCTGAGACGTAGCCTCGAGGCACTTGGTGTGCTCCTCGCTGTAAGCTCGCATTAAGATTTCTTGAGTCATTCTCTGCTGTTCTCGTGCAGTCTGCTCCCTCGTCAGCATTGACAAAATACGAGCAAGTGTATCTTCCATGCGGGGTTGATGCTGCATCAGCTGCAATAACGTAGTATGAATACCAACCTGCACTGTTGTACGCTCCCCACTTCCGTTGCAGTCTCGACTATCCTCTCCAAGTCGACGTCGCTTGTGCTTCTTTATAGCACTATGAAATGTATCATTATCCGTTGCGTTGGAGACGCCGGAAATGCGAGGAGCCACCTGCTGTTGTCGTTGCTGCGCAATAAATCCAGTGTGGTTAGTGATATCGGATAAGACGCCACTAGTAGCAGTAATAGCGGTGGCTCGTTTCGCTGTGTCAGGCCGCAAGGGCTCGCTTAGCAAAGCTTTTCGTGGCGAGTAACTGACAGGTGTCATTAGAGCAGTAGAGCTCTGTAGCACCGACTGAGACTGCTCTGTGTTGTAACAGTTTTCGGAATCCACTGGCTCAGAAATCAGCTGCTGCTGTTTTTGCAAACAGTAAGACGATTGTGATGGTTCCTCAATTGGCGGAGCAGATTTCTGAAGAATGTCCGCCGGATGGGTCGACATTTCCTGCAAGTGTATCCGCTGTGACGATTGACGTGTCTGAAGTGGTTGCTGTGGTGCTGGAAGCGCCATGCGAGCTGCAGCTTCGCATGTCGGCCAAGCATCTTCTAAACAAAACAACAACTTCTTGTTAGAGTATTACTAAAACCATGCTGCCCGCAAATATCATACGTACGAGTCGCTGAACGAGAAACGCTTATGCTAGATGAAGGCGGGTGCATCAATACACTTTGGGATAGACAGAGCAAATACAGATCATCCAGCCATTTGTGCGATCCTGCGTAGCCACCGAAGACAAGCAATTTTTGAGCAGCATTTGGTCCTGCAGGATCAGTGCGAAACAAAACCGTGGCATGCGCCGTCCGTCCGGCAGGAGCTTCATCTTTCAGGAACGTTTGGCTACTTTGTTGGTAGCTATTTCTGACATTCTCGCTTTGGCCGCCAGAAACAAGGCGCCAAGCGCGCGTGCTCACGTTATAAATGTAGAGCTCGTTCTCACGTACAGCACGCCGCCGACCACCAAAAAGCACCAAATGGCACGGTGTCACGAAAGTGAGAGAATGGTTGATACGACATGACGGTCGATCCCCCCGCGTTGCACCAGCCAGTGAATCCCACCGGGAGTGTACTATATCGTACAAGAAAAGTGATCCAAACTCTTGTTTCCCATCCGTCCCGCCAAATAAAAATAACGTGTTTCCATCGTCACTCGCTGTTAGTCCTGCAAACGCACGTGGCTGTGGCAACTGACCTGTCGGAAGCAATGTCGGCTTTACCCACTGATTCAATGAGGAGTCGTAGTAGAAAATGTCGTTAAACCACGTCGATGAGGTCGCATCCTTGCCTCCAAACACAAACACTTGTTCTCCACCCACGACGACGCTACTGTGAGCATGTCTTGCTCTCGGTTTCCACATACTCGCGATATCCACGCATCGTACTTCCCACTGAGCCTCCAGCAACGATTGTCTCACTCTTAGCTCTTCCACTCTCAACGTCAGTGTATCAAATGCCATCGCAGCATTTGCAGCACTTCCTTGTGCCTGTGTGCCACGTCCACATTGAGCTTCACCTTCTTCAGCAGCCACCACGACGTTACCAATCACCAACACTCTCATTCCCTGTGTCTTCTCATCGTCTGCCGAACTCAGCACATAGTGCATCGTATGGTAGTCTCTACCCCCTCCAGAGTGCAAGAGCGTGGACGAACGTCTCTCGACCCCTGACTTAGTACCTCTAGAGTTTGTATCATTGCAAATAGGACTAGGACACAAGGGTGAGCACGACAATTGGCTAGTAAATGTCGTGTCCCGTGATACCACGAGCCTTTTCCACTGTACGTCATCAGCTTCATCTGCACTTCTGCTGCCACTTCTGCACCTCATTCCACGTCCAGATGGGTCATATGATCCTCCATATTGCGTAAAATCCAAGAGATAAATGTCTTCAAAGAAGATTTTTCCGTCCGCGCCGCCAAAGAGTAAGACGCTGCGAGTGGGCGGTAAGAAAGTCATGGCGTGACCAGACCGCGGAGCGGGGGACGCAGAAACATTGTGTGAAGATAAAAGAGTATCTGAAAAAACAGTTGCATCTAGTTTCGTCCATATTGACGCCGTACGAGACGCGTGAGACATTCACGCGTTAACGCTCCAGGGCGCTACTACGACGCTATAAGCTGTTTGTTTGAAAGTGAATGGAATTGGACCTCTGAAACGGAATAGGCTATGTGTGAGTTACTCGTGGATACATAAAGTAAAGACCAGATATAAGTTTTGCAAGGCTGCCTCCACGCAGCAGTCTAATTTAGATCACTCATCTTTTCATCCAATCATATCATTTGTTTAGGATTATTAACCAATTACATTCAAGATACGTTGCATTCATGATATTGCACCAATGCCGTGCACAGTCAAGATGCGCCTTGTAGAGAGAGCCCCGTGACATGTCTATGGGTGACCGGACTCGTAAACAAGTAGATGCATAAGTAAGTATCTCTTTTGCAAACGTTAAAGCCAAATCGTCGGTATGTAAAAGGACATTGAACTTGAAATGAAACGAGGACTTTCGCTTCCATGTGGCAGATGATTCGGGATTGCAGAGTCAACCAATTAAATTCAAGCTCATGGACCACGCACGACGTGTACAGGACAGACGCTACAGTAGGAATTGTCTGCGTGGATCTCAACTGTCTTTTGATGCGTGACGGACACGTGATCCAAAGCTAGTTTCCAGTCTATGACACACGACTTGGTGTTCGGTGTGAACTGAGTTTACTTCGTCGTCTTCAGTACTTTGGAAATGTAAATCCATTTCGAGAATCGTCAGCAGGTGTACAATTCTTTGGTCTGTTGACGCTCGATCCGAGTTTGTACAGGATTGAGAGCATGCTGGGCTTTGTCGAAGAGCTTGTGGTGCACGCAGACCCCGAGTATTCATGGAGTGATAATTTCCGCACCTCTAGAAAAAGCAATGAACATCGACAATTGCTTTTGTACCAAGCTGTTATCACAAGTGGTGAAGATAGTTGGAAAGAAGGCACTGGAGCTCACAGGGAATGCGATGTTGCGTACAAGCAATTTTTTGACGTGAATGGAGATAGCGGTTTAGTGGCACGTGCGTGTGGCACTGCGTGCTATATGACGCCCGTGAAAAAGAACGAGTTGAGTTTTGAAAAAAGTGGTGGTAACCAACAATAAACACACAGTAAAGATGGACAAGATAACGAGATGTAGGTTGACACCAGCAAAGACGAAATTTCGGCGGCGGGAGCCGACGATGTGGATACTTTGGTGTCTCCGCGATATGGCCCACGGCCTTGCTGAAGTCACCCGAGGCGCTTGAAGTGTTTAATATTCCCGCACACGAAAAATGTGAATGTTAATGTAATTGCTGCATATATGCGCTGGTCTCGCAACTCATGCTGGGGTTTGGGGTGTGTGCGTGTTTTTAGGAGGTCCAATTGAATACGCCCAAGGTGTTTCATCCTGAGCAAGAATCCGTCGGGCTGAAATTGGCAGCGCGCGTTCAGTATAGTATCGAGGTAGCTGACAACGAAAGTGGATGACAAAGAAACGCGAGATTCGTGGTGGCTTGAGGTACGAGAAGAGATACATCACTTCCGTCATATTTTGCTGCCTTCTATGATTCCGCTTGAAGAGCGTCCCACTCAGTAAGATATGGGCACCAGCAATGATGTGGATGACGATGGCTGAGATGTGTACACAGCAGCGTCACCGAGATTAAATCGCTGTCTGCTTGAATTTTTGCTTTGGTCAGACACCGTAAACCATCCTCCACGTTTACGGCACACCATCTCGCGCAAAGTTAAGGTTGACATACAACGAGAGCGTGTTTGATGACGTTGGCTTTCGTTGCTAATGCTATACCCTGATGCTGAGTAGGAGAGCGGCAAATCCAATCTCCCTGTCCTCTCTACGCCACATTCCGTACTCATGAGTACTAGCACCATTTTCAAAGCAAGCTGAGACCAGTGTTGCTGTTCTCACCACGGCTGCGCAGTATGCAGATGGTCCGTTGTGGTTATGCGGAAATAAATGGGTTTCACAGATGATGATTACGTCCATCGAGCCATTTACTGGTCTTGCCATGATGGAAACAGGAACTTTAATTAGGCTCAAGTTTTTCGTCAGCGCAGGAAAGAAATGGTGACCTAAATGTTTGCTGGTGTAGCGATGGTGAGTGCGAAAACAACGAGTTTAGAAGTGCGGCGATTTGCGAACGGCTTTGAGAGTGCATCGTGGAGGAAAACGTATTCGTGTTGGATTTCTGTTGGGGACTAGTCCTGCTGCGAAGGTATCACATGTACATGCAAATACGAAGTGCGAGGAGACGTGCGTCATTAGTGCATTTATGTAGCTGCATGACTGGATGGAGCAGTGGACAATTCTGCGTGATGAGGATAAAAAAACCCTTTTTTTTTTAATACTTCATTCACCCTTCCATCTCCCTCATCCTTTTTCTCCGTTCCGTGCTCTTTCTCCAATTTTAATGTGGCTTCCTCTTCCATTTTCTTTTTCTCCAGTTCTTGCTCTGTGTTCCACTTTTTCCATTTTAACTTGTCCTCTTCCTCCTTTCTCGGCCCCTCATAAGATTTTACAATCGTCTTGATGCGTTCTTGCCATTTAACCTCTTCGTGTCTATCAATGTATTTCATCGTGTATTCTTTAAGAGCCGCCATGTCGTCGTCGTTGTCAGGAAATTTCATCAATTCTTTTTTCGTATCTTCGGCGCTAATTTCGTTCTCAAAATATTTCTTCAGCAGACCCTTCCACTTCTTTTCGTCGTTTTCGTCAGATAATAGCATTAATTCCCATTTGAAATCTTTCGGGCTAGTAGTTTCGATTAAATGTTCCTTTATCAGCAACTTCCACACCCTGTCAGCTAACTCTTTCGTATCTTCGTCTTTTCGCGCATTTTGAAGCCAAAGAACGTTAGTTTCAGACCTAAACACATCCCTCAAAGCATCCCAATACTTATGTCCTGCTTTAGAGGGACGTGTGAGAAGGTATTCCACATAATCTATCCACCAACCAAAAACAGGTTTTTCAAACAGTTGTTCCAACGTTATGTCGACATTCAGCTTCAGGCTTTCAAAAACAGTATTTGGCGAATATCCTTTAGTTTCGGTCCAGAAATGCCACAAATCGTATTCCGCTTTGTAAGCAAAATACTGCGCGGACATACTCTTCTTCGACTCTTTCGCAACCACAATCATTTCGACTAATTTGTCAAAGTTGTATGCGAACTGATCTTGCAATAGAAATGCCACGTTGGTCTCACGATCAACGTAATCTACCATAGTTGTTGGGTCAGTTTTCCACGGCCTTTTTTCGATATCTCTTACAAGCTTTTTGTAATCTTTAGCTGTTGCAAGTCTTTTGGTTCTAGGATAAGCCTCCGCATACTTCATAAATGTGATGAAAAGAGGGATTTCAAACAAGTTGACCTCGTCTTTCAAGATTTTAACCAGATGGTCTTCACCAAAAAACATCTTGAAGATCTCGTCTGGTTTTTTTTTTGGGTGAACCATAGTTGAAAGAGAGCCTTTTCCGAATTCGTAGACCGCAACTTTCCTAAACTTGAAGCAAATTTTATCCCTCGAAGAATCTCGTTCTCCTCGAAGGCCGCCTCTTTCGTCCCTGTATGTGTTTTTTTAATATCGTTGACAGCGTGCGTGAACATGACAAATGTCTCCATCGAAGGGTCATCCAACAATTTGTAGCCTGCAGCTTTGAGGTCAAGAAGCTCGAACACGTCGTCTAATGACTTTCCATTTGTCGCCCAGGTTTCGCATATCTTTTTCTCCAAAGTTTTAGCAAAGTTTTCAGACTTTTTGATCTGTCGCTCAGTTTTAAGTAGGCTGGCTAAGCCTTTGTCATCATAAACGGTTGGCAATAAATGGAAGACACTCGTTCGAGGCTCTTTGGGATGTGCCGCCTCAAACTTTTCCAAGCAGGTACGCCAGAAAATAAATAGCTCATTAGTAGACAGGCCATTCGCTACCTTATCCAGTCTTAGCTCCATGAACAGATCATCAACATCGCTTCTTTTTACGAACTTTGCCTTTTCCACCTCATCCCTAAAAAATTCCTCACGGCGTACCCCATTACCTATGGCATTTCGTATCAAAAAGTCGACGACCTTTTTCTTGTCGTTGTATTCCACATTGATCTTTTCAAAGTAGGTATACCAATAATTGAAGAGTGGATGAGTAAGCACGCCATCCTCAACTGTATTTAGTTTCAATTTCTCGAACGCATTTTCAGCAGATATGTCAGCGTCTAGCCAATGCTTCATATGTGCTTCCTCCACTTTTAAAGCGGCGTTGTTTAGTATTGCGTCCTTCTTAGCATCTACTATAAGGCGCACCAAGTCTACTACATCCTTGTAATACGACTCCAAAATGCCGGCGATATTTTCAGGGTTTTCGGTATCAAGCTTTTCCACGTATGTAATCCAATAAGAAAATAGTGGCTGAGCAAGCAGATCATCTACAGGTACTAGCTTGTTATCTTTAGCCTTAACCAGTTGTAGCAGCTCTAACATATCATCAGCAGAAAGGTCCTTCTTCAGCCAATACTCCATTTGTGCTTCCTCCACTTTTAAAGCGGCGCTGTTTAGTGTTGCGTCCTTCTTAGCATCTACAATTTGGTGTGCCAACTTTGCATCGCTGAAATACTGTGTCAAAATGCCGGCGACATTCTCAGGGGTTTCCGTATTAAACTTCTCCACGTATGTCATCCAATAACCAAAGAGTGGATGAGCAAGCAGGTCATTTTCAGCACTAATCAGTCCCAGTAGCAGTAACAAATCATCAGCAGAAATCCCACTATCCAGCCAATACTTCATTTGTTCTTCCTCCAATTCCAAAACAGCATCGGTAGGTGTTGATTTCTTCTTCGCAGCTACAATTAGGCGCGCCAGGGTTGTATCGCTGTGCTTGTACTCGGACATCAAAATATCGAAAACACTCCATTTTTTTCCCTGAGTGTCTTCCTTGTTGAATATTTTCACGTATGTACTCCAATAATCAAAGAGTGGACGAGCAAGCAGATCATCTACACGCAAATCTTTTGAATTTGACAGTTCTAGCAGCTTGAACACATCTTGACCAGATTTTTTTTGTTTCAGCCAATACTGCATTTGTGCTTCCTCCAATTTCAAAGCGGCGTCCTTATGTATCGCATCCGTCTTCGCACGTACGATGAATTGTGCAACAATCCTTTCATCCAATTTATTCGTCAATTCCACAATTGCCTTTTCTTCAGAAAGCTCCCCGATCGCTTTCAAAAACGTCTCATACGGATCAAGTTGCAAGGTTGCTGCTTTTGCAGCGAGTTTGTCCTGATTGGGAGCTACTACATTCTTTAACTTTTCGGCCACTTTGCTGAGGCCCTCGCCAATTCCCCCCTTTCACCGTCGTCTTTACCTGCAGTATAGCTTAGGCCTTCAGAGGGTTTAGTCGGACTCCCAGCGGCAATAGTTGCTTTTTTCGCTTCGGCAAGATCCTCTTTTACCAAAACATCCACATTCATCATCCCGTCACCTTTGTCTCTAGCCGCATTTGAGCTTGACTCAGGAGTGTAATCAGTCGTATTCACAACGACGGAAGTTGTTATCTTGGCTGTGGCAGCATGCGTGATCGAGGCTGCTGCAAGGAGCAATTGAACGTAGACTCGCATGATCGGCTAAAGATAAGTGCTGCAAGTTCAATCGTAAACTGAGCGGATATATATACAACCTGAAGTTGCTGAGGGCTAAGAGTCAGCAGAATAAACAGCACGTCGTATGTACACCGAATGGGAAGTGACTTAGGAAGTCAGTGCATTCCAGGGGATAGACTGCATAGTGCACTTTTTTCCAAGTCGATAAGGGTTATAAGTCGACGTTTTACACTTGTACTAACACATGTATTGGTACAACATTCGTGCGCCATTCCCTCCTTGTCCCATTGTTATCAACGCACATGGACGTGCATAAAATGAGTCATGCGACACTACGCTCATGCAGTCGTCACATACAAAATTCACAATTACCAAGTCCGTGTTGCAAAAACTATTGGCGGCACTTAATGAGTGCAATGAGTGGGGACAGGTCTTTGTGCTTGATGCGTTGTCATGATACATGCCCGCGCCTTTTGCGAGGCAGAAGTGATTATTGAACAGGTGACGCCACGTCTTCAGCATGCTAACTCGGCCGTTGTGCTTTTGGCAGTCAAGGTCATTATGACATTCCTCGAGAAAGTCTCGGACGCTGATACGGAACGCAGTCTGTCGCGTAAGATGGCCCCTCCGCTCCTGATGCTGCCTGTCAGCTGAGTCTGAGATCTAGTACGTGGCTCTGCGTAATATCAACCTGATTGTGCAGAAAAGTCCAGCAATCTTAGCGAACGAGATAAAGCTGTTCTTCTGCAAGTTCATTGATCCGGTCTATGTCAAAATGGAGATGCTGGAAAGTATCATCTGTATTGTCTCGCAGCGCAACATTGAACAGGTGCTGCTTGAGTTAAATGAATACGCTACTGAGGTGGATGTGGAATTTGTGCACCGTTCGGTACGTGCGATTGGTCGATGCGCTGTTAAGCTTGAACGTGCTGCGGAGAAGTGCATCAATGTGCTGCTGGCGCTTATTCAGACCAAGGTCAACTATATCGTGCAGGAGGCTATCGTTGTGATCAAGGATATCTTCCGCAAGTATTGAAACCAGTACGAGAGCATTATTGCTACCCTATGCGAGAACTTGGATACACTGGACGAGCCCGAGGCGAAGGCATCAACTATTTGGATTATCGGTGAGTATGCCAAGCGTATCGACAATGCAGACGAGCTCTTAGAGTCGTTCATGGACTCTTGCGATGATGAGACTGCCCAGGTGCATCTGCAGCTTCTGACTGCTACCGTAAAATTGTTCTCCAAGCGTCTTAATGAGACGCAGGAAATGGTCCAGAAGGTTCTCCACAAAGCCACAGAAAATTCAGACAGTTTGGAGTTGCGTGACCGCGGGTACGTATACTGACGCCTACTTTTGGCCATATCCGGACGTTGTTCACGCTGTTGTGCTTGCGGAGAAGCCAGTAATAAGCGATGATACATGTGCCCTTGAGCCTTCGGTTTTGGACGAGCTGATCGGAAAAATTTCGACGCTTGCTAGTGTCTACCACAAGTTACCCAGCGCGTTTGTTGTGCGTTCGACAGTACCGGAGGTACACGGGCACCGCCAGGATGGTGATTACAGCGTCGACGGTGAGGGTGAAGGCTCTTCCGACCAGACAGAAGATGGACGAATCGGTCAGAAGGCTGGTGACCCCGTGGACCTGCTTGATATGGGTACTTTTACTCTTGGAGACCCCTTCCTCGATTGCTCCGGACCCTGTGGCAGCAACGTCAGCTAGTGCAAGCTTGGTCGACATTTTTGGTGGTCCTGCAGCTCCGCCTGCTCCAGTGGCAGTAAGCGGTGCTGCAGTCCAGAAAAAGCTTTTGATGGATGCGCTACCAGGCAAGGGCCTGGTGATGACGGGCGCTTTCACACGTCACAGCAGCAACTTCGTACTTGACGTGGATCTTGAAAACCAGTCATCTGCGCCAATTACGGGAGTAAGCATCCAGTTCAACAAGAGCACGTTCGGTGTGGTGCCAATGCAAGCACCAATCACGTTCCCACAACCTCTGGCACCGGGACAAACCGTAAACCAAGTTGTGCCCATGAGTGTGAGCCCGCAGTTTGTCGACGCCGCTGTGGCACCGAACCTCAATTTGCAGGTTGCGATCTAGAACGACTCGTGCGGCGACGTGGTATACTTCCAGTCCGAATGAGATCTTTCGTCTGGTTTTACCGAGGCCGGCAGCATGGCGTCGACCGAGTTTATCAGCATGTGGCAGAGTATCGCCGAAGCGAACGAGCACTACTTTACATTGGTAACGGGTGGATGTGGCGTAGACGACGTGTCAGGGCGTCTGGGGCACAACAACGCTTTTTTTGTAGCCAAGCGGTCATCGACGGGAAGATGATTTGCGTACTTCTTGGTCAAGACCATGACGAATATCGTGGCACTCTTTGAGCTCACATTCGACGACACAGGTACCACGAAAGTATGTCTCAAACTGGAGCAGAAGGCTTTCAGTACGCAAATGCAACAAATGATGGAGCGTTTGCTAGCGTAAGAAGGGTCGGCATTGTTGCACTTGCTGGTTAGCGGTGTAGAAGCCTATTGCGATCGCGTCAGTTTGAAGACCGGCGTAATAGCATCTTGGTAAGCACGAGATAACACATGAGCTGGTACGGTCGGACTAATGAAGCTGTTGGATGTGGCTACTTAAACTGTGTTTAGAGTTGTGAAAATACAGCAACAACCTCTCCTACCAGGTACCCATCGCCACTAATTGCTTCATCACCGACCGTCCATTGATTTCAGCCTCGGCACTACCGCTACCTGAACTACGACTACACTTTTAAGAGGGTAGTGTTCATGTCCGACAGCCGCATTAAGGGGCAATTCAACACAGTAAGCAGCTTTTAACGTTGGCAAGGAGGTCGGCAAGCTTATGGAGAAGACGGATGCAGATCTATTTACGCGTCACTTCGCCGACCTTCATCACGATAGTGGGCGTGTCCCACTTATCATTATCGTGAGCTATCGAACACGAGGCATCCCGAAGACATCAGTGTCACGGCAGCAGGCACCTCCGATTTGATGGTCGAGGCTTGGAGCGTACGAAAAGCACGACGTGCTTGGAAGAAGCTGACAATCTTCCTATACATTTCGCATGTCGCAGACTCACGATACCTCAATGCGTAAGAACCAGAGATTATCTTTCACCAAGAGATCTACTGAATGGGATGCAAAGATGCTTGTAAATGCCCTGTATCAACCTATGCCCAAATATTTCTGACTTGCGACTTGGCATCTTTACGAAGCCGAACCCACCCGGAGAAAGCGTTGTCGTACGCAGAATTGTCTGGTAATGAAGATTCACTTCCTCGTTTCTCTGTATGCCCCAGCAACCACTTTTCCTGTCCGTAAGACGACAATGGTGTTCTCAATTCCAACTCGGCGGCACAATATAGCCTTACATCATGTACTTGTTCATTACCAAAGCAAAATGTGCCGAATTTCAAGACTACTGCACATTTACAATTGCCAGGATACCATACTGCAAGAACGCATGCACCTCGAACACATCAATTCCTGGAACGATCGTAAGCTGCTCCTATGGGTCTGAGCACATCAAGTCATTGTTGGAAGTAGTTGCAGGCTGTCACACCACATAAAATAAAGAGAATAGTATAGTGTCAACGTAATGAGCTGCCACTTTATCCAAAGGGTATGTCATTGTATGCAAAAGTCCTTCATTTGGCATTGAGTACAGGCTCAAATTTCTGCAATACTCTAGCATAATAAAGTAAGTCTACAGCTGTTGAGTTCTTGACAGCAATGCAGTATGAAGCAAGAGCATCATGGCTTTGAAGGCGACAATTGATGCACCGTCCTAAATGGATACTAATCCTGATCAAGACGCCAAATGTAGCCATTTTCGAGGCAGCTATTAATACGGTTTATTCGTTCACGAAAACAAATCAGCTCACGAATTCATCCTAAGCCAATCAAATGTCTTAGAATGAATGTTGACCAATCCGTAAGGAAAACTGAGATTCTGAATATCCATCGACTAAGACGCACAATCATAGCTATAAAGCAGACAGAAAAGATGCAAGTGTTTACGTAACTGAGACAAGGTCATAAATCGTCATAGGGTTAAAGTAATAAAGACAAATAGTATTTTCATCGAGAACATGGCTTCGCTTTTGTGTGTCGTATTTTGCAGTTGATGCGTTTGTAAAGCCATGTCAATATGAAGGCTTCATGATAAGTGGAGATCTCAGCTTAAGGCGAATGACAAGTCCGATACGAAAGCTGAGCTTCAATCGGCCAATGCTATAATGTGTTGGTCTTTGTTGTATGGTTGGTGGTATACAAGGGTGCTTGCCAGTAACAGGGCATCTAGTTACACGCAAACATCAAGTAATATACTTAATGTTTGGTCTAAAAGTATCCATGATTACTTTTGACCTGTCACTTGGGTGCAATACACAAATGTGATCCACCCTCGTGAATGTGATATCCATTGATGGGATTCACATGAGAAGGGATGACGCTAGTTGAAGCTAGGCATCACGACGTCTCAGAAGGACGTCAGTCGCAAACTTAAATCTAGATTTAAGTTCATGCGTCAAGATACGCTTCTAAAAAGTCGCGTATCTGATCTCTATATATATAGTCAATCAGTAGTTAAGTTTAAATTTAGTTATAATTAATTAAATATAGCTCAGTCTTGAATTTGCTAAACGCCGAAGCACCACGCACTAGAAGCTGAAAACTTCTGCGTGACGTCTGATACTTCTTGTTCAGAAGTTCGTTGCGCTCTCGCTTAAGCGAGAGGCAACTGGTGGTACGACTGGTTAAGCAGTCGACCAACCACATAACCGCCCTCGCACGCGAAGGTCAGACGGTATAAACGCTTCCTCGCTTGTGCTGAAGGTGTGTGCTAAGCAGCACGAGGCAACTTCGTAGAAGTGCCCTTCTAGAATTGGTAGCACTAGTAGTCCTTTCCACGACCCGTCTCTCTGAGCGTGCGTGTGGTTAAGATGGTCCTTAACATGGACTGGAGTGACTTCCCTCACCTCTCCCAACATCATAGCGATTTGGAAGAGCATATGGCGCAGGGACTTGGTGAACAAGCCCTGGTCAATCTCTTGCATTGTCCTCCTGAGTACTATGTTGCTCAGTTGGAGCAATTCGAGGCGTTTGCGTTCGGATAGCGTAGAAACGCGTCCGAGGTAAACAGCAAGCTACGGCTGAGGCCATCAGCCGACTCCAGATGTTAAGCAGGCACGGAATGAGGCTCGCAACTGAAATGCCAAGACGCTCTCTGCCCGGTCTAATCAGCCAAGGCCCATTCGGATAGACCCTTCAAAGTTTGCTGGGACTGCCCTACATACGATCATCCATCGTCTTTTAGCCGTGGAGCAATGCGATATGGCGCAGCTCATCGAAGATGACACCAGAATGGTGTCGTATGCCATGTCAAATTGCGTGGAAAAGCGTCAGAGTGGGCTTACTCTGCGCTTATGGCAAATGCTGATGCGTTTCCATCATGGGAGATCATTAAGTCAAAGTTTTGCGCCATGTAACAGCCGCCTAACAATGAAGTGTTCCTTCAGGCGCGCTTCTTTGGAGCACGACAGGCGAAACGATCTCTACCAGAGAATGTGCAGGAGATGCGTTCGTTGTCTGCGTCCATTAATGGGGAGCCGATACCGGAACGTATTAAGGTGGCCACGTTCCACGTTCCACGACCCATCGCGTCAGGCCTTTTTAAAAAGGTGCCGAAGACGATGGAGGAGTTAATTAAAATTAGGAGCAATCCTACAACAGTGCCTCGGCGATACTTTTAATAAGCCGTCGGCCGAAAAGTCGTATGCTGCTCCAATGGAGTTAGGCAATGCAGACGTGGTCTGCTACAAGTGCGGCAAGCGAGGCCATATGATGGCTCGCTGCTATGCCAAAGTAGCTGCTGGTACTAAGGCAGCCAGCAAGTCCCAACCCGAAGGGAGGTGCGAAAAACCAGCGTGCACGACGAACGGGTTCAGCACCTGTCGGGAAATGCGGGAGCGCAGTAGGGGCGGGATGCCCTACTGTCGCGGACTCTGAAGCTATCCCTATGTTCAGAGTGATCGAACAAATGGGTAGCATAGTCCCTGAGGTTCCGAAAGGTCGGAACTCTACAGATTTGGTCTATAGCGCTCGAGTACGAGGCTATAACCAAGTGATGACCCTTCTCCTGGATTCGGGTGCATCACAAAACTTTGTGAAGCTCGCGGCTCTGAAAAAGAGACCGTCGAGTTATGAGTCGCTTTTCCAGGATGGCAAGCGAGAAGAGGCGAACGTTCGCTTAGCGAACGGCGCGCTCGTCAAATCGGAGGGAGTTCAAGTTGAACTCGCCTTCAGTTTCAGTGACTTCTCCTGTAAAGAGAAGTTCACAGTGCTAGGTATGGAGAGTCCGTATGATCTCATCCTAGGCATGCCTTGGTTGGCTAAACACCAACCATGGATAGACTGGCGTACACGCACAGTCGCTAGCTCTACGCAAGACATCAGAAAGGATGTGATCCTGCGAGAGGCTTATGTGGCTGATGCTGTGTCCAACACAGTCGAGGGTGCGATGACGGTATGTCAATCGACACCAGGAACTACCCAGCTCGAAAGGAGTGGTGTAGCTGGAAGTGCACTGGCGGAAAGCCAGGTGACACATATTCCTACCCAGGTCGAAGAGACTGGTGTAGTGGATGGGGCGATGACAGATAGTCATGCGTCCAATAGTCCAGCACATAGCCGAGAGACTGTGGCAGTTGATGGTGGGCTGACAGGAAGTCAAGCGCCACAAGAACCGGCACAGAGCCAAGAGCCTGGTGTGGTTGGAAGGAGTGCGTTAGCTGAGATAGCAACGACACCTACTTCCAAGTCAAAGGTTGTGGTGACTTGAAGAACGAGCACCAGACGTATTAAGACGGTCAAGGGAACGTCGAAACGAGTGACCCTTGGATCAGTCTCGGTCCAAGAGGACGGACCTAGGAACGAGTTGCTCGAGGCCGTCGAAGACAAAATGCCGGAGGCATCCTCAGTTGAGGTGCTCCAACTTGTCTTGGCATCTGACGAGGAGATAGTAAATCTCTCGGAGATGACGTGGGATCTGTTCCTGTCCGAACTAAAGGA